ACCCTTTTACACCGGTATTGAAATTATTATCCTGTTAACCGACGATTATCCCCGGGGAAATAAAAGACACGTCGTTTTTTATTATTTCGTTTAATTTCCACTTCAATCAGTGATTGTGATAATCCGTTGATTGCATGGACCAAAGGATATTATATTATAAACAAAAAACAGTCGTTCCCACACCGGGAATCGAACACGGGCCACGGCGGTGAGAGCGCAGGTGTAAAAGAAATTATGGTCCCCTGGGGATTATGGTCCCCTTTCTTAACGGCCCTTACTGGCCCTGATTGTGTATAAGATAATGAGGGAAAGAGTTGTATTTAGGTCACCATATAAATCAATGGAGAGTGAGACCATAATTTGATAGGACCTCCTACCCTTTTACACCGGATCCTAACCACTAGACCATATGGGAGATAACTGCACACTGATCGCGATTTAACCTATAGGTTCTTTGTATTACATCGTGAACGGTGTGAAAGAAATTATGGTCCCCCAGGGATTATGGTCCCCCATTTTAAAGTCCCTTACCGGCCCTGATTGTGTGTAAGATAACAAGGGAAAGAGTTGTATTTAGGTCACCATTAAAATCAATGGAGAGTAGGACCATAATTTGATAGGACCTCCTACCCTTTTACACCTGCATTATATTAGAACAAACTATCTACCCAGTCTTACATTCATACATACATGTATATGTACATCTCCAGACTAAGCTTGTATTCACTAATGCGACTAACGACTCTCGGTTACCAGACTAACCTACTATTTTATGGCCAACTCATTTAAGTATGAATGGAATAATGTCAAGTTCTATTCATATTTAAATGAATTGGTCATTTCATAGTCGGTTAATCCGGTAGCCGACAGCCGAAAGTTGCATTCTCGATTACAAGCTAAATTACAGATTGGCATTATTGTTGTACATCTTGAAATATGAATGCTAAAGACAAAAAACAAGTTGAACTTGAAAGTGCTGATTATTCAGTTTCACGTTACATGTACATTGATTTTGCGATATCTGCTATATTTGAAAGTGTATAACTTCAGTTCTAAAAAAGCTTTTACCATGATTTTAGTTTTATTTACAAGATAATTGATTAGGCCTATTCTTCAAGGCAGCGAAGAATATTTGGCACCAAAATTGTTTTGAAAGAAAGTTGACAATTTATCAGAAATGGTAAAACATTTACACCCCTATGTCACGTTGGCTAGCGCCTCGTGAAATGCAGATTTCTAAAGCAAAATATTTTGCGCGTTATACCATATACTATATTTTCAGTGAAGGTTAACTATCAAATTAACTGTCCAGGATGTTGTTGCAGTGAGACATTTATTAAAAAAATACCTAGAACCCAGACCAGATCTTTCTTGAACAATGAAAACATCAGTTTGCTCACTCGTGTTGTACCTTACCCCATGCGTTCAACTGGCACCCTTAATATGGTAGAGCCCCTGTGAGGTTATTGGGTTTAATAAACGATCACAGGATCTCCTTAATATCAGAAAAATCACTGGCTGTTATTGTATAGATACCACACTAATCGTGGGTCAAACCAAGACGTCCTTGGTGAAAACATGGTCCTCTTCATGCCAAAACTTAACACAAGAGGTACATTCCTCAGCCTTAACTAACATCTTGCCCTAATTTTTCGACAACAATATCAATTAAGTTTAGGCATAAGTTCTCCCCTTAATTTTTAATTGTGCAATTGACTATACAAGGAAAACATCTAAAATATGAGAGATATCGGAACTGACTCATACATGTAAGCATGTTTATTATTCCGGTATATGACGTACACTCCCCTCCATAAGTTTGGCAACCTTTTTTCCCCATTGAACTACGTGTTAAAGCCTCCTTACCTTTGAATTTTTATTTACTTAACCGGCGATGAAATAACTTATAATATTGATGGAAACGTAACTTGACCTTATTTCCAATACCTCCAAATTTTCTCAATTTTTTTCCTCAATTAAAATAGGTCAAAAATTGATGATAAATTTGATGAATTTTTGAAAATCGTCATTCCCATGTAATCCAATGGGAAATGGAGGGTTCGGGGCAAATCAGAAATCAGGATATCTTTTCAGTAAAAGATTCAGCAAAAATTATTTTTATATAGAAAATTGAATTGTCTAACTTTTTAAAATACTAAGTGTTTAGTTTATTTGATGAATATAAAAGTTAAGTGCTCCGTCATTTTTGAAAATAATTTTTCGCCTCCTGTGTTATTTCAATGGGAGAGTTTTTTTGAAAAACAACTTTGACTTTAAAGCCCTATAACTTTGTTGAACCTGAAGAAACATATCAATTTTTTGTTAAATCAAGTTAGCAAATTCAATTGCCTGCCTAACTCGTATTTTTTGCAAGGACTCGGATGGATGGATATTCTGTCATATGACTTGCGGCAAACCTACCATTTCCCATTGGTTAACATGGGAATGTCGATTTTCAAAAATTCATCAAATTTATCATCAATTTTCAACCTATTGTAATTGAGAAAAAAATTGAGAAAATTTGGAGGTATTGGAATTAAAGTCAAATTACGTTTCCATCAATAGTATAAGTATTTTCATCGCAGGTTAAGTAAATAAAATTCAAAGGTAAAGAGGCTTTAACACGTAGTTCAATGAGGAAAAAAGGTTGCCAAACTTATGGAGGGGAGTGTATAACTTATGAACCGTTTGGTTACGTCATCATTTTAGGTGTGATATTCTTATGAATCGTCGTCTATACGTAAGAATATGAATATCACACTTATGGGATATTAGAGCTCATAAGTTATACGTGATACGGAAAAGGTAACATGCTATACGTGAGTTGCGAAACCTCTCAAAATGCCTTTAGTTATTGTTTGGCAACGTTCCAAATGGAGGATGAATTTTTGGCAAACTGTTAAGTAAACTAATATCCTTTTATATGGACCTGTCCTCACAGGCGGATCCAAAAATTGAAAAATTCAAATTTGAGTCTCATTTCTCGTTACCAGGTTACAGGAGCCCAAAATTGTCCCCTCTCATTCATTAGCACGCTTAATCATCATTTCTTACTATCCAATGACATCAAAGACAGAATCAGATCTAGAAAACAATCATTTTAAAAGTTGTAGTTTTATAATATTTTGGGCGTATACCGATCTTCCTTCCACATACATTGACAAAAATGTTAAACTAAGTCAAAAGGAAATAATTTTTTTGGGTAGTACTAACATTTCAAACATTACAGACATACTTTTGACCCTAATTCTGTCTTTGATTGCTGAATTTCAAGATTGATATACAGCTAGGAACAGAATTTGTTTCAGACACATAAAATGTATATTAATAATTATATACTTGTTAGGCCTAAATCGTGGAAGATCTAGCAATAATTCTGCGAGTTCGTTATAATTGCAATATGATGGTTATCGGAGTAATTAAAGTAGTGTCTGTGTTTAGACTACTCTAACGTCTTTTAGTGATGTATGCGTTGATGGCGTTGTAGCTTTGGTTAGTGGATACACGTTCTTTGCCTCGGGACGACCGCTACCCTGGATCAGGTTGTAAACTACCTTTTGTCCTTCATTAAGCGAGTTAACACCGGGTTCTATAATGTTAAACTGAAAAAATTAAGAACAATTTAATTGTAAAGCCAATAATTTTTTTTGAATATTTGTTGGATACATAGTCAATAAGAGACGTTTTCAAATTATTTTAAAAAATCAAATTACAAACGAAACATTTTAATCCTTTGGGAAGTGAATACTTTATTAAAGCATTTTTTACTAGTCGTCGGGCGAGCGCGCGGGATATCATTAATAATAGAACCAAGCTTGGCACTTTGAAAAAGTCACAATTACAATGAGAAGAAACTCACATATTGCACAAAAACATGCACATCAGTGCGTCCATTATGTCCATCATCGGGTGTAATGTACCCATAACCCTTTTCTTTGTTGTATGACCTGACAGTCCCCAGCAATTCATCATCTTCAAGAAGCTCCCTGGAAATAATACACTGAGAATCAGATCTAGGGAGCAAGCTGAAACTCCATAAATTACAAAAGTCCACAGCTTTACTGCACATCATATGAAACATCAAAAGGTTAGGCCTTGTACATATGTTTCTATTCTTCATATACCGTTGAGGCGTGATCCTCTGATTGTTCATTTTTTAGATTCAGAGTTGTTTACTGGATTATGAATCGGACTAATCTGAATCATCGTAGAGTTAAGGCTGCTTTTTGAACTGCCTGCGGTGCAAGTCGATTACATAAAAGTTTTTCCTTCTAGGTATCACGAAAAAGAACATTAAGCCCATGTGGTGCAAATTACATGGTCACATCTTTCCAACCAAAACAACTCATCCATCCAAGTGCAATGGCGTCAACCGCGTCGGCTAGTTGCTAGTGCACCGCAGGAGTTCGATGGCAATAAATTGTGATTGTGACTTTTTCAAAAGAATATGCGATTGACAGTGCGCTTGGATGAGCCATTAATTTGCACCAAATGTTCTTTTTGCCTGAAAATTGTCTGATTGGGCACATTTTCTGAAAAATGAAAAAAAATTCTGTTCAGTGACCTTTCCTTAGCGCCTACTTTAAGCTATTTTTTCAGTCACATTTTCAGAGGGCTGAAAAAGTTATTTCATGATGTTTAGGGTCATTTCGACCACGTACATAGGGATCCTGGTCATGTAAATGACACGTGGAACTAATTAAACTGACTGGAGGTCAAAACGGAACTCCGCTATCTTGATTCAAAAAATGTTTGAAATCCGGCATGGTTTTGTCGCTTCCTGTTTTGTCCCTTTCTGTTAAGTACCACGGCACCTTAGCAATTTACTTGTACCGCGGATATACAAAAATACAGCCTAAATATGACTGAGGCTTCGTGTATTCTTTTTTGATAAGAGCGTTGATATTCTGTATAAAAATAGCATTTATTCAAACACGTACCTTGTCAGTAAGCGCAAAAGCACGTCTTCCTTCGCCTCGCTTAGCGTAGCTATACCAGGCCTGGCACATGATATTACCACCATAGCAACTACCAAACCGATCACCGATGAGTGCTTCATCATCTAGAAGCATAACAATAAAATATTATACCATTTATGCTGAAAGGGCATATAGTATTTTGTTTAGCATGAATGAAGACGTTTGAAAACAGGGTCTGCACCGAATTAAGCGTGACAGTTGAACGCTCGGGGTTAAGGTATAACACAAGGATGAAGCCGCGTTCCATCTTACATAAGCAATCAAATGACTAAATTGCAATAGTACATAAGAAATAGAAATATATGTACTTGTCCTAACTTTTGTATATCAGATAGTTATGTAGTATGTATCCAACAGACCGAATATAATATTCGGTCTGTTATGATTGATACCCTTCGCGTGGAAATCGCGGCGATATTTTGTGCACATAAATTTCTCGTTTATTACAAGAATTTTCAGCTTGAAAATTGGTGAATATGTTGAAGAGATGTTCATCTTAAACTAGAAGCAAAAATATTTGTATAAGGCGGGTACAAGTTGATATAAAATAATGAAATGTTCAGACTCACCAAAACTTCAGGATGTGTTCATAAGTAGATCGCGAAATCAATGTCAAGGACGTTTGAGTTCACGAGATCTAAACGAGATATGCAAATTTTTGAACTTTGACTTTTAACTTCAAACACATGACCACTTGATTACCTCGGCCTTCTTCATGAATATCCCCGCTCTATTTACTATAAATGACGAAAATCAATCGGGATAATGATGATAAATGACTAGATCTAATAAATTCCCGCACAAATTGAATTTATCAATACGCTTCCATAATATTGCTCCGTCCGCTCCACGTGTTATTTGTTTACAAATAGACTGACGTCACAGGTTAAATCTCGTTTATCGTGAGAATTGGCATTGCCAAAATGGCTTGACCTAATCAATTCCTCCACTACAAGAAGCGCCTGTATATTTTATGAATATCTTCAGTAAGAGGACAATATACGAAAAAATAATATTGTAAGTTCTTAATAAGGTAATCATTTTATCATTATACAAACTCATTTGTAACATTTATACAACACCACATTTTACAATAGGTGACTTACAGTCTGAATTTATTCAGACGAAGGATACAGTCTAGAAAGTTATGTATAATGTGCAGCAAAGCTATGGCCTTTCGTAATTTAGGGAGTTTCAGCCATGTTAATTTTCCCGAAAATAACATGGCAGAGAACCATAAAAGTATAAGAGGCCACGGATATGATAGCTACAAACTACAACTACAAAACAAATTAAAATATACAAAGTTAGGACATGTATGAATGTTTTTATTTTTACATGTACTGTTTCAATATGGTCCTTTGATTATTTAAATTCAAAGTAGTTCAAACATTTCAAATTTTACTGCAGATGATGTGTGGAATGAGCTGTAGCACATGCCCATGATATTTCATCAAGGTGCACTCCGACCTTACGATGTTATTTTCTGGTACAAAATAAAATATGTAGGCATGTTTGAATTTCCTTGCTTTTTTTAGGAAAGTATCATTACATTGACTTCTTTCAGTATTTAGTGAGAGGTCAATGGTTACTCCAGGAAATGCTGGCATTTCATGTTTTCTAATTTTCCAATTTTTCTCAAAGTTTCTGGACAACACTGGAGCTACCATTTACCTGCATCCAGATCTCCTAAAAGAGGACGATGTAATGATGCATTCCTGAAAAAAGCAAGAAAATTCACACATGCCTTCATATTTTACTTTTTACAAAAATATTTTCGTTCCACCATTACCTAATGTTAAGGTACAGCTGGAAAATAGTCTACATTGTCTACTTTTAGTGAGTGAGTATTGGCTATCAATTTTTTCAAGTTTTCTTCAACATGTATCGCGATGACTTCAGTATGAATGAAATGTCCCTTGGTGTTCTGGTCCTGGATTGTGATATTGGTTTTCGATTTGAGGGAGGAGGGGGATGACTAGACATTGCTTCTTTTCACTTTTCTTATGACAGACTTACAATTTGCTTTTCTTGTTGGGTTTCTTTAAAGTTTTTAGTCACCCTTCCCTTTGGCATTTGCGCTAATATATTTAGTAAACCTAGAAACAGGTCTATGGTAGCTCCTTTGTTCTCTGAAAACTTTGAAAGAAAATTTGGAAAAATAGAAAGTGTGAAATATCTGAATTTCCTGGAGTTCCCATTGAACTCTTACTAGTATTCTAAAAGAAGACAATGTAATGATACCTTCCTGAAAAAAGCAAGGAAATTAACACATACTAAATTTTGTACCAGAAAATAACATGTACAGGAATAATACCTGTAGTAATGTTTTACCATGTCATGAACCCTTGAGGTTCAGCTGGAAAGTAACATTTTGGTAAAACATGCATTTCCTTGCTTTTTTCAGGAAAGTAGCATTACATTGTCTACTTTTAGTATATCTAGAAACAGGTCAATGGTAGCTCCTGTGTTGTCTGGAAACTTTGAAAGAAAATTTGGAAAAATAGAAAGTGTGAAATATCAGAATTTCCAGGAGTTCCCATTGAACTCTCACCTGATTTACTAAAAGAAGACAAGGTAATTAGTATACTTTCCTGAAAAAAGCAAGGAAATTAACACATGCCTTCGTACTTTATAGTGTACCAGAAAATAACATGTGCAGGTAAAGCAATTTTTACCAAAATGTTATTTTCCAGCTGTACCTAACATCAACTGCCCTCGTGATAGAGGTTAAAATCTACTCACCTTGTATGTAGAGTGCTCCAAACACCGAACAATTTCTCCTGGGAGGGTAGAGAGTTATAATGCTTTGATTTACTATAGTGTTTTAACGTGTCAATCCGTTCGATATGCCTAACATGAATGTCCCCTGGTTTCAGATCAAGGTTAAGGCAACGCTAAAGTTAATCAAAAGTACAAAAAATTGCAGCCATATTTTTTAATAAAGTCACAAGATTTTGTGTATCTGTTTTCCTTATATGTGAATGCATTTCCTGACTAAAGAGACATGTCATAGAAAACTTAACATTTAAATCAAAGGAAAAAGAAATACAAAATCTTTATCAAAAATCATGGCTTCCATTTTTGTTATTTTGATTAACTATACCGCTACCTTAAATTTGTTGTGTGTCACGGATCACTGGGACGTTTTCTGATTTACGTATTTGTTCATCCAGTTGTATTCATTTCGGCTTTAGCACACGTTCACTGAACGTGAACAAATAAATCGATCAAATCATTTTTAAAATTCGTCCTACGGGGCCGGTGTAAAAGGGTACGAGGTCCTTTCAAATTATGGTCCTATTCTCCATTGACTTATATGGTGACCTCTTTTTCTTATTATCTTATTTACGCTTATACACAAACTGGGCCAGTAAGTAAGAAGGGGGACCATAATCCATGGGGGACCATAATTTCTTTCACACCGGGTCAATATTTCAATAGAGAGGTTTCGATAAAAGTTATTTTGAATTTGGGGGATACTGTAATTGCTGGAATATTCACAAATTATTTCCTCGATTAGGTAACGAGAGAAAGAACTTTCCTCGTTTCTTCGAGAAGTATCCCATTATCATTTAAAAGTTGAAGCTGAATCTTGTTCGGCTGAAACGTATACTGAAAACGTTTTTTAGCTCAACGGATCCGTATCCGTAACGTATTTACCAGATTTATGTGTTGTCAGTTCAATTTATCCATGAAGCAATACGGAAAGCACGAAAAATGAGGCCGTTGGTCATTTCCGTATCCCGTTTATCCTTCGATGATATTGTTTTTAGTTCTAAAAGTATCACTATATGAGCAAGCATGTAGTGTGTGTTGAATGGTATTGCAATAATTACAGTGTACGTATATGTTTCGCACGACGTTTTAGCTACCCCCATAACGCATCGATGGAGTAAAAGCTCAATACGGTTGTGATACCGACAGCATTACCATGTATATCGTGCCAATTTTGATGAAGTAATAGGCTTATATCGATTAATTTGATTATAAGTGGGTGGCCTGCAATTTTTATGAATAAAGCTTTTAGTCAATGATATGACATCTCTAGGACGTCTTATAGAGGAACTGGTAGCACACTAAAGCGCTGCGATATTTGACCTAATAATTTTTATTATAACCGTTTAATATACTTCCGGCTTTTAGGCTGAATTATGCCTGCCATTAGCAGAGGTCAAAAAGTTACAAAAAAATAAAATCCCAACTTTTCACAATTTGAAGTACACAACATAACAAAAAAATAATATAAAATTATTTTAAATATATTATTTAGGTTTCTGAGCTATAAGTTTGAGGTTATTTTTCTTATAAATACCCAAAATTTATGTAATCAGTGTATCGATGTTTTGTATTGTTTCTCAGGTATTAATAAGATAAATGCTACAAATGAATCACTTTTATATTAGAATGACAGATGCTTGAATTATGCTAGTATCTGAATACGTTTTGAGATCTGGACTTTCTATTCCACGGTGAACATTATCAATAAAGGAGGGCATATTGCTCTTCCTTGACTAATTGGGACTACAGCTAAAATTCTATTTCTCGTAGTTAGATGTAGCACAGTTGCTTATAAAATAACCATCAACACTTGGTCGAATTCATGAATAATTGAGAAAAATCGTTATCATTATCTTCCTAAAATTTGATTTTATCCAGCGGTAAGGTCAAAGAAGAAACAGCCATGAGAAAACTTGATGATAGTCAGCAGTAACGTCGAGGAAGAATTGTAAGGCGTTCGATTTTATGTGACTCTAATTGATTATTGGACATGCCCTTGGATATACGAACATTCAAATACCTCTGTAACATTTAATTAGATATAAATCTTATAAATCATTTGCTATTTATTTGCTATAATTGTATTATGGTTTATCATGAACAATAAATTGTTGTTCGACCCCTTGCGATTATATGGAAAAATGCTGGTAATTGTTTAAATGGAAAGAAAACTATTATGTTCGCAATCATAAATTACCTAAATATTTCACACAATTTTGTTATATCTGCATGGTTCATGAATATCTGAAAAATCAAACAATATCTGAAAATGCACTTGCTTAATTACACTAATTAAACACCGACATCTACAGTAAAATTATAGTACTGTATATTTTTACATTATGATAATCTATTTTTTTGTTCGTATACTTAGAATAACGGTCCGTGTCTTATAAAATGCATAAAAGTTAGGTGCAAAATATTTACGTTTTTGACCCCTTGTTATGAAAGACATTTTTCGACCCGAAAGCCGGAAGTTTTTTCAGCAAATGGTATTTTTAAAGAATCAAGACATATGCACCTCCATAAATATTGATTCAAATGTTGCTGCGCTATCGTGTGCTACGGATCCTTCATATTTGGAAGTCATACCATGCACTATTTAACAATATTTACTAATAGGCAGCCGTATGGTCTATCATTCCTAGGGTCAATAGTTATACCGTAGTCAATTTCTTAGGGACACCAAACCAATGATTAGCAGCTAGACCACTTAAATTCATATTTTGTGCCCCAAGTCACGCTCTGAATTCATATAGAGAAGAGTCTCCGTTTTGTTTGAGTATAGCAGCTTGGTCCTGACCTCGACTTTAAATGTGACATTGGGTCTAAAGGTGGCGCCTCGTATAACTCTTGCCCGTATCCAGCCTTTGTGGGGGAGCTTTTTGACAATTTTGGCTAAAAAAACTCCCGAAAGGTGCACAGGGTGATGAAAAACTGAATGAATGATTTTGTAAAAATGTCTAGCCGGTGGAGCTTGTGCCCCTGGTATGACTTGAACACACAACAAAGCATGCGATCTGTGTCAAATAGTCTTTTGACAGGGAGAGTATTGATCCTTGGATGATGATATTGAAGTGTTATTTCCTATTTTCGTTTTCATAAAGAAAAGCATGACATACCGATCCTGTGCAACGAACCGTTTGCCTTACATATGAGTCACGATAGGGTCCCCACATATTTCTCTTAGGTGGTGTTCCATGATTGATCAGCAGCCTTGTGATGATAGGGAAGGGGAGGGGGTGGTTGTAATTCAAGTAGATATCAGGTTGTCTCCGATTGTGTTGTGCGGTTGTCTCCGGTTGGAATAAGTTCCGTTGTGGTTTATTGATTGTTTCTGATTTTGTTTTGGTGGGTTGATTAAATCGATTGAGTATTTGGTTAAGTCTGGTTGTGTAATAGTGGGTTAGCGTCAGGAAGGTATACTAGAATAGTAGATTTTGCCGGATTGTGTTGTGTCAGTTTGTGAGTCGGTCGTCTTTTGATGGTTGTTAGTCTGGTGATTTAGTATCGGGTTGTGCCCCACTGTGTTATGTTAATTTTATAATGGGCTGTGTTCTCTTGTGATACAAGGCACTCGTGGATAGCTGGTTGTGGCTAGTCGGACGAGGTGGGGGAAGGCACGTTCATTATAAAACACCCTATAGAGTTATAGAAATGTAGAAAATATGTTTTTATCTTTCATTTACTATTTCAATGACTAAAAGTTATTTTTGAGATTTTTGACAAAAAAGGTTTTGTAGAAAAAGCTTTTTATTTCTCAAATATGCAAATATCCCGCCATTTTTCAAATAAAAGTTAACGTTTTTTCAACCATTAAATATTCCATTATACAGTGCGAGATACATTTTGTTCTTAACACCATTTGCAAAGATTGAATAAAGAACATACTGTTTCAAATTTCATGTAATGTGCCAGTTATGTTTTAGAATATCAAAAACATTTTGCACCCTAAATGACATCATCGTCATGTCTTCTAGTTTAAGACTACAATATTTTCCACTATCGGTTTAAACTTTATATAGGGTCTTAAGTCGATAACATACACTCCCCTCCATAAGTTTGGCAACCTTAGCTCTCCCATTGAACTACGTGTTAAAGCCTCTTTACGTTTGAATTTTTATTTACTTAACCGACGATGAAATAACTTATGATATTGATAGAAACGTAACTTGACTTTATTTCCAATACCTCCAAATTTTCTCAATTTTTTTCTTCAATTACCTAAAGACGTTTTAACACTTAGTTCAATTAGGGAGCTAAGGTTGCCAAACTTATAGAGGGGAGTGTACATCCCATACCTAAATATTGACATCACAACATATTCAAACCATTGTATCTAATTGACAGTAAAGTGCTTAGGCTCTTCAAGCGCAACTTCAGCATATAAATTGAAGGCCCCATACTATTTAAATGAGACATGAATGAAAATAATGTTAAACCCAAAGTTGAAAATACATTTAATGATTGACAAAACAAAAATTTGAGGCTCGGCTGGCAGTCGTCTCCTGGGATCCCAACATAGAGGAACGTTCATGGGGTTACACCGGCTAAATGTGAAGTTTCTCCCCAATTTTAAAATGAGTTGAAACCAAACGACATGTCTACTTTGATATGTTATGATTAAAATGATATACTCTTCAAATTATTCTGTCTCTGTGGCTTATTATTGACAATTACTGACACGAACACAAAGATTTCCGAAACCTACTTTATTCGTTTTTCTTTAAAATTCTCCATCGCAGGTATTTTAGGATTTTTTGTAGTTGTTAACAATTGTAAAGGAAGGAGTGCGCTCTCCATTATGATCTCCCCATGAAAAAATTAATTCATCTGATTTTTCAAAATGAGTATACTGCCTTTATTTTTATATATATACGCACTAGCATCTTGTTGACCTATATTCAGCACTGTATTGATGTATAGGCCAGTTATTAGGGTCAAAATTCAATCATGAAGTGTAGAGGCATAGATTCAAAACCAGGAAGTATTTTAATGCTTTTCAAAATCCATTTGCATCCTATGCATCCCTAAATCGTATTCAAATGAGTTACAAAATAATGAAATATAATAGTATAATCTTTAGATTTACAAAGTTGTATGATATTTGATAAGTGTGAAAGGTGTTTTTGGAGCATTTTCTAGTGCCATTTTGTAGGGAAAAAATGAAAGAAAAGTGTATGTAATCTTTTAATCTAAAGTATGACCTGAATCGATTGCAAACTTCATATTTGCACATTTGATAAGATAAACCATTTGTGTCATATTGGGAAATTATTAAATTTGCAATCGATTCAGGTCATAGTGTATTTTTGGTATTTTTGTGATAACCAATGGAAACCAATGGCCTCTATGGGGATCTGCTGATATCCTCATGTTAAGTATATGATGCACAGCCCCATGTAAGTCAATACAACCTTACTGAACTGAATTGCCCCTATCTCAGCCTATGTGTACCCGAGCACTTTAATATCGTTATCTAGAGTTATATGACATTCCGTTCTTCATGTTACACCCCAGGGGGCTCACTCCAAATAATTTGTGTAGGTATGTGCAGCACGGCAAATTTTGCTTTGAGCATAAAACATGGAAATTGGTCAATCTGAGAGGGAAAACATCGAAAATTCTCTAAAAAAAGTACCATTTTAAGTCAAATCAATTGATAGAGCCTGGAATATATCACTAGAAACATTGATTATTTAGTCAATTATAAGTCTCAGAGGAATTAAACATGGGAACCTTCAATCATGAGAGGAAATTGACATGGAAAAAATGCCCCGGGGCTACACCTAAGAATTATTCATTTTGACCATAGGGGCATTTGCCAATAAACGCACCTTTTCTTTTGGATTTTGGGATTCGAGATTCAACTTTAACTGAAATCGGACGTTTATCCTCCTCCTAAACAGGTATCCAGAATCTGTATACGTACCTCCTTAAGAATATATTCTGGATTTTGAAGCCTTGTGATCGGAGGATGGAGGTTTATCGGAGACAACAGAATCTTGTCCATCAATTTGAATGATACTAAGTGCAGTTGAAATCTTAGGCCCGGGTATACTGTTATTTAAAAAACAGCTTATTCTTGTCCATTAAGCTTATAAAAATCAGTCTTATTCTTATACATGTAAGTAATCTTGTAAAAAAGTAATATACATGTATACACCACTCATTAACAACTCAATACACTATGGGACATTTTTAACATTTTTAACGTATTCCTGGGCCTCAGGTTGAAATCATCCAGCTGTGGAACAGTAACATTACACGTCATTTAATGCTTGAAGCAATTCTTTGCATTTTTATTTTTACAATAAGCCGTATATAAATGATCTGAACATACTATCGTTATTATACAATGTGTTAAATAAGCATTCTCTCCCCGACTAAGGCAGCTTTGGAGCAGCATATTAGGAGATCGGCCTTCAGAGGAGGGATTATTTGAGGCCAAATACTGGATCCTCGCCCAAGTGGTGTTCAGGATTATTTTAAGTTTGGCTCGGAGGAGGATGATGGTGATCACGTGATTCCACTTTTTGGACTACTCTTCAGCAAGCGTCAATTGCATGCAGAGAACTCATAAAGTGTCAATGCAGCAAGGGGTGTCGTCCTCAGTACTGTTCATGTAAAAAAGCTGGCTGGGCAAAATGCACAGACCTTTGTAAGTGCAGTGGGCTTTGCACTGATTAGTGAGAGTAACAATAAAGGACAAAATATTTGAGATTTGAGAAAGATGGTGATCAAAAATGTAAAACATAGACAATTTATCAAACATAAATTGTGACAATTTATCAAACATAAATTGCCCCAGCATTGAAATTTTCGCATTGTAACACCATCTAACTGGTACTGTAACAATGACCCCCTTATTTTGGATATGTGGCTGAATATATTCTCTTATACGTGTTGTTCAGTAGAAGTAAGAGATCTTATTATCCAATATTATGTAATTACTCAGTCTTTGGTTAACAATTTTTGATGAATAACAATATATGTTATTTATGAACTTAATAGTACAGGTCATAATACTGATCCTTGTTTTACGCCGTTTTACATTTGAAACTCAAGTTAAATGTCAGCTCATCAAAAAAGATTCATTTCAAAGCCACTTCTTGAGGTTTCTATGCAGTTTTCATTAATATATTAGAGGATTTTGAGATTTTAATAGAAATCGGCAAAATCACAAACAGACTGGCGGCCATTTTGAATTTTTTCCAAAACGAGGCTCCGGATCACTTGCTGCCTCGAGCCATTTTTTTTCAATTACAATCAGCTACACTTGTACCAATTTTGGTGCTTCTATCATAAAAAGAATTATTGGGAGGGTTTTTCAAGTGATTCAGCCTAACTACATTAAACTTTAACATCTACACAATGTTGAATAACTCTTTTGTCTGTATGTCATGAATTGTTCTTAGGCACTATGCACGATGAAGCAACTCCACAAGAAGTTTCAGCTGACTAGCTCAACTAGATGCACGTTTATGCATATAAGTTCATATTTTTGAAACTAAGGGGGGGGGGGGCAATATTTATTTGACACCCCGTATAGTTCAACTTCTACAGTGTTCTCTTGGTTAGCAAATTATAAACATGTTCCGTCGTTAGCTACTCTTTATTGATTTTCATTGTGTGAGCACCCACTGTTCATGTGGCGCCGGCTGTATTGGTCAATGATCTCACGTTACATGTAATTAATGTCACATTTCTAACGCTTGAATGTGTACATCGGTGTCTTCTGAACGTTTGGTCTTGGAATTTTGAAATCCTCCTGAAATAAAATGAATACGCAGAAATAATTTTATACAAAAATTCCCAAAATACATTTGAAACCCGATCATAAGCAGATTCTACGGTATGTGAACGAAGAAAATATTGTATGTGTATGTCCACACCAACATAAAATAAAATAAAACAAAAATGTATAATGTATACATCAATTTTTATATCCTAAATTGAGAAAGCTGTAAAGAACACCGTGGTTGTTTAATACATGGTGAGATATTAACAAATCAAATAACACAGATTATATTAATGGTATAGGCCAATAATGTCAAAACACTCGCAACAACCATGCTATTTAAATACACATAAATTGTACATACCTTTACTGAGAGATTACTAACGCTGGCCTGGCCACTCATCGTACGTACATCGAGGTCGCTACTCCCTAGCTGTTGTAAGTTCTGATAAACATGTGCAGAATCGCCATGATCATATGGCGATGGTAAACGATCCATACGGTCACTATTCAAGTCGCGATATACATGTGTATCGCGGTGATTAGAGCGAGAGGATATGTACCTATCACTTCCTTTCCATGAGGGATTCTTAAATTGCTGTAATAAATGGAAAATAATTGTGATATTTAGGTAGGCCGAAAACCCGTATATGTCATAATTCGACATGTTAAGCTACATAAACATCTCATCACAAATTTTCTCTTAACTTGGGCAAAAAGGTAGAAGTTGTTTCACTTAATCCAACTCACGTTTTCACGGCCCGTGCTGGACAAGCTAGTCATGTACAATGCATCACGTTCCATTGCTGGGTTGTCGTAGCCCGTCTCTCTATTTCTGGAGGTAGAAATAAAAACAGCAGGCTTTAAATTATGATATTATTCTGAAGCTCAAAGTCATTTCGTTATTGAAATAAATGTAATGCATTAAAAGGAAATGACATGCAAAATAAACACCTGTCATTTGTTTAAGACGCCGACCGCCGAACACCGTCCAAAAAAAGTTGGAGACCATAACAATTTTGGTTGTGAAGAGGAAAAAATAAGTAATTATTTACGATAATGCAAAAATGTATAAAGCTCCTGTAATCTTTCAAAGAGTGGTCACTGATAAGAACATGAATATCTCTGATATAAACGTGATAAAAACATTGGTTGACTGGACTCCACAAAGATAAAACATCACTTTACAATTTTCATTTTTCCATCTCCATTTTTCGTCTCCTACTAGAATATCTTACGTGCGTAGAGATGCAGAAGAGATAGAAGGCCGAGACAGGCGAGTGAATTATTTGAAGAAGTAGGGCATACACTATAAAAGTTTTCAATCATGATTGTACAATATTGCCAAATCTCCCCCACCCTTAAATACGAGATTATGACCAGACTCTCTAATATAGTTTAAATTTACCCGTCAACTTGTTTTCCCTTGTGTCCTTTTCTTTTACGGATGACCACAATAACTATGCATATTGCCGTCAACAATAGCAGGAAGCATACACCAGCTGGTACCCCGATAACTAACCATGAACTTGTGCAGACGCCGCCAATCACAAGCTCGCCATCATCGCATCTGTATCTGGATTGAAATAACAAGACATCGTTATCGTCAGCGGAATATACCTTTAGTATAAATAGTATAAAGCATTTTAATAAACTAGTTTCAAGCCATTAAAGGTATGCTATTATTCCTGGTGGAACATACTTACTTTACACAAATGTTGCAATGTTGATATTATGTTATTTGAAATAATAACAATTCTAGGCATAAGAAACAAAAATATAATAGTTCAAGACCATTCTAGTTCATATTCATCACATCTTTCGATATCCCGAGGTGTGATCTAAAATGACACTATAAGGATAGTGGACACTATCACTTATTTCTTCCAAGTATATCACTGTCACACGGAGAGCTAAAAACATACATACGAGCATGCAACCTTACAGTTTTGAGAGTTTTTATACTGATAAAAAGGATAAAATAAAGATGCCAAAACCGAATCTCCAGCAAATTGTTGTGGGAGAAGCATTAAAATATTGAGTTCCAACCGTTTTACCATTAATAGAATCCAAAGCATCGACGGTCTTGATCAGTAGCGCCTGTCTCACTTTTAAGTATTTTTATGAATCATTTTATTTCTGGTGCAACCCCTGTCGAGATAAAAGATACGTTATTGAAAGAAATGAAAAGTCCTCTTACATTTCTGTTATTGCTACCTCGTTTGTTGTGGTCGTTGTTGCCAGGGATGACGTAAGCGTTGTCAAGTCAACTGTTGTCAGTGATGGCGTGGTCACTGTTGTTGTAGATACTGGAGGGGGGTTCGTGTAGACGATGTAGAAATCTCCATATAAGGAAACTTCTACGAGGTGAACACTGCGTAATGTGGTACTTGGACCATTGTCGGCTGCAACAACCCATAAACGGTAGACTTTCCATTGTATTTTACCAGACGATGGGTCAACGTGAACAACTCCCGTTGAAGAATCTATTGTGAATAGATCTTTGGCATCTTGATCAGTCGTAGTGTGGATGTAATAATTAACTCTGCCGTTTTCCTCGCTGTCAGGATCAGTGGCACGTATGGTTGTAACGAACTCGACCTGTGTGGAGTTGAATAATTTCACGAATATCGGCTTATTTGGTGCGTCATCAACCTCTGGTTGGTTATCATTAATATCTGTAACTTGAATCGTAATCGTTGCACTAGAAGATTTCGATGGAGATCCACTGTCCTCAACAATAACTTCAATTATCATTGTATCATTCGCCATTGTCTCTCTGTCAAACTCTACCGCCGTTTTAATCTCAGCAGTGTTTCTATCAATTAGAAACAGTCCATTTGGCTCGGAAAATCTAAAATTTAATTTCGCGTTTCTTCCCGTGTCTTCATCAGTTGCGTTTAATTTACTCTCAAAATGAATATTCGTCCCAATAGGCGACTCCTCTGGTACAACACCAGTGTAATAAGTAGCAGTAAAGACAGGGACATGATTATTAGGTCCAATGTCCGTATCACAATTCATTCCATCGAATGTTCCTGAACATGTACAGATATTAGGAGCTTCGCAAAAACCATTGTTTGAACAGTTATTTCTCAGAGAGCAGTCAGCGATATCACATAATGCCCCCGACCATCCGGCATTACACGTGCAATTGTTCATCTCCGTGCAGTTGCCATTTCCTACAATTATCAATACGTATATGGCACAAAATGAATCATATCCTAGCAGAACTTAACAAATCTTGGGAGGTTACACTATTATCATTTCACTTTATTTCATTGTGAAATAAATGAAGCCCTTTGAATGAAGGATGGGGAGTACAAGCCAGATTTCAGATTCGGCGAAAAGTCTGAGAAAATATACAAGAGATTACTACACCAAGTTTAAGATATTTTATGGAAACGCTAATAAGAACATTTTTTAAAGAAATCCTTACCCGAACAATAAAGTAGCCATTTGCAGGACCAACGTGAGCAGCCATCGCCTGTATAGTCGTCCTCACACGTGCAGATATTTGGTTGAGTACACACGCCATGGTCGGAACAGTTATTCAGGCTAGAACAGTCCACATCTTCGCAATGAGCTCCAGTGAAGCCAGTATCACAACTAGAAATAAACAGTTTGAAGTCCAACCACTGATTGTATTGTATTTTGTTTACCACCAATGAAGGTGACCAATACCTCTTGGGTATGTCCCGTGTACATTTAATAAAAGTATGTGAACACGTTTCCTTATTCATTTGAGCAAATTCAGTTTTAATTTCTTCTTTTATTAACTTTTATATTGCAAAGTGCAATTCTTGCATTAACAAAGCTAGTTACAAGGGTTCAAAAAAGAAACAATTACATATGAAGACGATATTCTAACATGAAATAATAAGCGACAAAAATGCAAGGTATTGCGAGTATACAAAGATGTCATAATATTCCGTACATGCACGTTTTGTTACTTCCATCTTGCACACATATCCCATGTCCAGAACAATGATCTAATTCTGGACAATCTATAGTGTCTTTGCAGGATTCACCATAGAATCCTTGGTCACAACGGCAAACATTTGGTGAATGACACACTCCATGTCCGGAGCAGTCCGACACTTGCGAACATACTGGCTTTGAACACGATGTTCCTCTCCAGCCATCGTCGCATGAACAAATGTCATATCCCTGGCAAGTACCTTGTTGGTTGTGCTCTAAAATTGCAACGGTGAACATTGTTTTGTGCTTAATGAAATATCGAACCCTGTTTAGTATTTAAATCTACATTTTTTAGAGTCAGCCATCTTGATCACGAATTAATTACATTCTTTCAACTGGTTCCATGATTCAACAGAATTAGTGATTCGTAAATAATTACATATTATTATAAACGTATTTGATGATTACCATTGCAATAGTTGAGTATTTCACATGAGGGCTTGTCGCACTCATTTCCCATCCACCCTACGTCACACTTGCATACGCCATGGTCAACGCAAATACCATTGTTGGTGCAGTTGTTCACTTTGAAGCAAACAGCTATCTCACTGCAATTGGTCCCTAAGAATAAAAAATCATAACATCGATGTTAGTCCCAGAAAATACGATCCTACATTATCAAATGAACTCACTGAATTAAAAATATTTTTCTCAATTGTGAACCATCAGTCAGATCAAATCAGAACACCCCCTCAGCTGTGTTTTAGCAGTATGATATGAGGTTACTCAAACCACCATCTTAATTTTTCACATGTCCGAAATAGGACAGCATAGGTAAAACTATGATTTATGATGTAAGAAATCAATTGGCGTCACCTAAGTCGAGGTTGTTTACACGTATGAGAAGACCAATTAACGATTGGAGAACACGTGGTTATTAACATAAATATCTCCGACAATACATTAAGTTATACTGTACCTGTGAATCCCAACTGGCATTTGCACACGTTGTGTTTCACACAGTGGCCGTGGTCCATATCTGTACAATTATCCACGGCACTGCAATTAGCTGAAACATGAATAAACGACGAAGGAAATAACAATTTTACTCCTCGAATCAAGGTGAACCTAATGCTACATATAGTGGCGATATTCACATGTGCCATAATTAGTTGATATGCCTTTTCTCGAAAATTTTGTATTGAAAACTTCAATTAATTTTGTTCTTCTGATTCTTCTGCATAGCAATTAATTAGAATAAATTTAAAGTAGTTTACCTAATTCATTACATGTTGGACCATCCCATCCGGCAATACAGGTACAGAATCCAAGGGAACAGTTTCCATGGATACAGGGATCATTACACATACCTAAATATATGTTTTGTCATTAACATCACTTGGAAATTGTATTCTGACAACAAACAATCGGTTGTAAGAAGGGTGTTTTTAAAAGCTGAATTTTTTTTAATCATTTAAGATGTTATTCCTTGTTCTGAGGAAAAATATTGAATGATATGACACACAATCAGTTTATGAACTAGACAAACATTGAACATCTTAAACGAACGATGATCTCATGTACAAGGAACATCATCTAGTTTACCCATTTCTTTCATCTTGGTAACATAATATGATACAATATCATTATTAAGTAACTATTGTTCATTACCAATGTCACAGGCGTCACCTTCCCATCCTGATGTACACTGACATGTTGAGTTTATACATTCGCCCCTTCCACTACATTGACCCGGGCAGTCTGAAATGTATGGTTGTTATGATAGTCATTTCTCAATTTTGTAGGTAGGGGTCACCTTGCAATAGTTTGAGTTTAACGCAATCTTAGGTAATCAATTTACTCATCACTATAATGGCTCATTCCTTGTCATGTCTATTTTTTAAGAAACACAAAAGTGTTTACTTTATTCAAGGAAAACTAAAGGTTTTTACAATAATGCATTATTTTTCTATAAGAATGGTAACCATTCTTATTATTTGGGAGAATTTAAACATTTTTCACTCATTTTTGCACTTTGCATCATTAATAACTTCACCAATTTATGACATATTGTGAATCCTTAGGGAGATATTGTATTTGATATTGTAAAGAATAGATTGGTAGGTCAATTATACATGTTGCTTGTAATTTTGTCACCCATATAGATCAGATTCTGCCTTTAAACAATATACAATGCGATACAAATTCCAATGAAACACAACAACAAATTCAACAAATGAATCTAATTTTATTCAAAGGCTCATAACATGTTCATCAAATCAAAGTGAGTCCCAGCAAGACACCAGTTCTACTGTCGAACTTGACTCAGTCCGTCTCCATTATATAAAGCGCATGTGTGTCGATGTGTTATGTAAGGTTAAAAATACCTGATTTCAGATACTCTTGTGTAGAAAACGTTGCATCTTCAGTTACTAAGACATCAAAGATGCATTCCTCTAGTAGCCTTTCATCACTGATTTTCTTAGATGAACATATTTCTCGACTTGCCTGCAAAGTAGATAAAGTACAGAGAGGGTAGTAGTGTAAATGTTCCTAGTATATAATGTATACATCTTTTCACCAAGTATACGATTTAATGGAATTCTGCATATTTTGATAAAGATTCGGATCTATTTACACAGTAACTGAACCAAGTTCATAATTGTATTCTGAAACCTACATTAATTTGGTAATCAGGAAATTCCCGTATGTCATATACTGGGGAATACAGTGTTGTATCGGTGTAGCTTGGACCGAGTATGTCAAGGTTGTGGAAGTTAGATGACGTCCATGTCCAGGAACCTTGTAGTCCAGAAGTATTCTCTTTGGAACCCCCAACTCTCCCTAAAACACAAAGATAAAAACGGATATGACGAATAACATTCGCATTCGTACATATACAATGTACCCTAGAAACCGAATGAATAGCCTGCAACGCACAGACAAATACATTATACAAAAGGTAAATTGATAACATTGAAACCCATTAAATCACACTTGTAATGAGTAATGCAAAAACAAACAATCCTGAAATATTTCTTTTTACCAATATTGTTTCAAAATCTCTGTTTTGGTTATTTTTTAAAGTTTTCTCATGTCATTCTTCTACCGAAAGAGTGTTGTAATTTTTAGAAGCTTTCCCATGGCATTCTTCACAGGAAATACGTCAAAAGCTAGTATTGTTTGAAACGTACATGATTCAACAAATTGTATAACAGAGGTTGTGTTGTACAACTTTCCATCTGCACCAGTGAAGTCATTGCTTTGATCATCATCCATGAGGCCACATAGACCCGATGTCTTTCCAGAGAATGCAGCTGTTAGCTGAAGGACCAGATTCAAATACTGCCGCTTCATCTTAGCACTGTATCTAAGATATGTACTGACCATTACACCTGATAAAGTAAAACATATAAAAATGAGAATCCCATTTAATATAAAATGATGACATGAAAACATTAGTACGGTGTTTCCATCCTTTTATCAAAAAGTGGATAAAATGCTGTCAATTGAATATTTTATCACCACTCTGGTAAAATGTAGCATTAGTTCCAAGAAAATGCACATATTGAAAAAGTGCCTAAATTAGTGGAAACACTATAAGTAAAGTAAATACCTGTATTATATTGAAGAGTTACCAACATGACACTGTCATCACTGCCGTTGCTATTAGTTATTACCATATGTACGTCATCACTTATCTTGTAATCTACTGTTTGATTTGCAACATCAACAACTTCACCATTTAATCTAAGCACAACATACAAAAATACAAGTAGGCTACTACCTAGAAAGGTATCGTCCGAGGTTTTAGACCACCATAGGTTTTAGTATTTTTTGTTCCAACTCAGTCTATTTGGAAAATGGCATTAACAAAATTATTAAAGTTACTTTTTATTTTATCTTGTCTTGATATGAGAGTAATTGGCAATTTTCTTGATCGATGTATATAATCATAAGTTTAAACCACTTGTTTTAATACTACTGACCTTATAACTGGTAATGTGCTCTCATCTGCTGGTTGATGTGTCACCAGCGTCACAATGTTCTCACCCGCTTTAATCGCCACCCCTCCGATGAGAGATGCGTTGCGATATCCAAACATTCGTGTCTGAATACCAAAAGCATTGGCCTCGCTCTTGCAATCCCAAAACTCACCTATGCCATGGAAGTCATATCGCACACCTGTAACAAAAGGATATAGAACAAACTTTCAGTGAATTGATTATTTTCGTTTGTTTTTATACTAAAAATAAAATAACATTTAAAAAAAAAATTAATCCGATCTTAGGCCCTTTGTATAAATGGCATATTCCAAATGTGATTTGTTGAGAATGAAACTGAAAAGTTGAGATTGTGTTTTATTTTAATTTGTTTATCTACAAAACTAGATAACATTAGTTAACTAAAAAGTTCTGGCATTCTTACCATCTAGAGTTTGAAGATGAGGATCGCCTCCTCCTGCAGTTGGTATTCTGAACTCACAGCATGCTCCTCTCCATTGGGCACCACATTGGCAGCTAGATGAACAACTGTCCAGGGAAGCTGTACAAAACCCGTTTCCAGAACAATCTAAATAAACAAAAGGTAAAATGATCATTGCTTTTGGCGTTTTGAAACTTAAGTCGTATCATTAATGAGTAGACTCGGTTCTCTGATCCTGTTTGGAGCTTGTGAAATGCATTCAAGTGACTAAAAAGGCATCCTTAAAACATAGTCAAAACCGACCATTATTGAGTAGTAAAGGCTAAGGAATACAGCGTCTGTGGTTAATATATTTACTTTAAATGCGCGAACTTGAACAGGTCTCCACTTTTGTTGCCTTGATGATTTGATGATTTGATGTGGTATCATCAGTGTTATTACCTTGACATGTTCCACATTCTGGTTGGTCGCAACTTTCTCCTCTTCGGCCTGGGACACAGCCGGGTGCGATTCCGCATGGATGTTTAGCAACACATGAACATTCACAGTTACGCCAAATGACTTCCTCGTTGACATCACACGTAGGACATCTGTTAGACAATGGAAGATAACTATCATGACTTGGATAGATAACACCTTTGCAAGTTGACTGTTGATCAAATATAACTTAATTTTTTTCTATGTGATACTGGTTCTTGCACCATGTGTTATTTATGAAATAATATATAAACTAAAGAGTTTCCAAAGCCTCCTATAAAGCATTAAGTAGGAGAACTACAGCAGTTGTGAATCGTTGTAATATTTAATATGAGGCTCTCAAATCATAAAGGCAGTCTATAAATGACAAAATAAGATCTGATCCAATGAATAAGCTTAATTATATAATTATAAATGAAAACACTGTTCCATATGGCTTTCAACAATGCAGAATTGTTGCAATATTTAACATAAAAGACTCACAAATCATCGGGACAATGGCATCCATTCTGAGTAATTACAGAGTGCTGGCAATTATTACACATGCAGCCGCACGAACATGTTCCATTCTGATCCATGTTGGAGATACTACCATCAGCACATGTACATGGGCACTGAAACATTGATCAGCCAATTGTACACTGTGTAATAGTGATAGAAAATATGTCATATGTAATTATTGATTGGGGAATGGGGAGGGGGGTTGTTAGGCACTGTTTTTTCACTTTGGATTATTATTCGAGATAAATGAGGTTTGATTTCCTAATGTCTGGTGTACCATCTGGTCTGTAACCATTTTTGATAGCAGTTTGCACACTTCGGTCAAAAAATTAACATCCAAGTAAACAACCGGAAACGGATAATAAACCCCAAATGCTCCATTCCACTTGGTACTTACATCACATCTGCCATCTGGAAGAAGTTGTGACACAGATCCGTCAGTACACTCACAACTACATACCGGTTCCCCACTGCCTCCTATTTGTTCTTTCATAATACCACCAGGACATGTGTCACAAATACATTTACCATTCATGATAACACCGTTGTCTTCTTGACATTTACAACACTGTGTGTTTGGGGCTACAAAACACTGGGAAGGTGTTTTGAAGCACTGCCTAAAAGGTAAGCATTCATAATACTAATTATTTGAAGTTGAAACAAAAGTCAAATCAAAATTTGAAAAAGGAGAAACAGCCAAGGGTCGTTATCATTAGCTATTTAAAGTCCCTTGTTTTACTAACATCGCTCTGCAATCTCCAATAAATAGAAGTATAATGTAAATGCAAAAGTTTTGTTTCGGCAATCACAATATTTCTCTTAAAATCGTTGTCCTTAAACTAAACCCTTTTAGTTGAAATCGTTTCATTCAAACTCTCTTTCAATAACTCAATCGTGATCTTTCATTCAAAAACTGTGATACATAATCTCCCGGGCATAATGTCTGCATTGTAATATCGGAAATTAAAGACAATGTATTTTTAAAATTACCTTGCAGTTATTAAGTTTCCATCTGATTTGAAATGTTCATCTAAGTTTGTAAAGCTAGAGGCTTTTACAAACCCGGTTATTTCCCCTATTCCAGATGCAGTATCTACAAAACCCTGACTCTCTCCACATTGGTTGCAGTAGTCTGAACACGAATCAATGATCCCATCCAAATGTATGGGCAAATTAAAGGACACTTTGAAGTCCGTCACTGTTTCACCTTCATCTGTAAGATTCGCCAATCAAATTGATAAACCACATGTTCCTTACCATGTGGATAGATGAATTTGGTGAATTAATAAACATTAATTTCTGAATAAAGTTCAATCGAGACTACTTTGGGCTTGAATGGGCAACAACCGATAAGGAATACTAGTCATGTCCTAAAAGTAACTTTCAAAAATATTCTAACCTCAATTTCATAATTATTCTAAGTAAGACACACTGGGCAGAATAGGTAAAATATGAGGTTTTTATATGTGTATTATATGGCCATATAAGGTGTGGTAATCGGTTTTAACCAGGAATGGTATTGGCCGAATAGAAGATTCTGGTAAATCATTCGAATGCCTATTTTTAAAAGTTTTCTAAAGAAAGATCTGTATTTCAGTTGTGTATCTGATGGGCAGCAGGCGATCAACAGATCGAAGAATACCTTCACAAAATTGATTCCCAAGAATCTCTGCTGGGCATTCTTGTTCCTCCGGTTGCGCAGTATTTCCCGAGGGATATGTGAACGTCAGTGTGTTTTGAAGAATTGATTTCACATCAATTGACCCTGCTTTATTGTCTAATAAATACGGTCCTTCCTGTACAGGTTTTTGAATATCCTTTAAGAAAAAACGCAGTAATGTATCAAAGTATATGTACAAAATGTTGTCTAGGTTTAGGTTAAGGACGTCACAGACCTTTTTAATAAACTCTACCATTTTTTTGTTGCACACCCAACGTAAGCTAGGATATATTGCCCATGTTCACGATGTCATAGATTGTAGATAGCAATGTTTACAAAGAAATCCAGCTTGTCGTCGAAAATAAACCAAAAGTTAACATTATTTACCATCCATTATTCCTACATACAACATTGAGATTATAAATAGAAAAACGTTTTGAATTCTTCGGTAAAAAGAATGTGGTTTTGGAAAGATATCTTAGTTTAAAATGTTGGCTGCAATGTAAAATGTGTAATATTTTATCTTTATTTATTTTTATCTATTCATGTAGTATAATTATTATCATAAGTGTCATCATAATCATTATTATAAATGTCACAATACACACTAGATACCCATAGGGGGTATATCAGTGCATTTTCAAAAAATGGAAAACCTTTAAATACTACAATTATATTTTGATTATACTCATACTTTTGTAAACACTTCAGTATTGTTTGGTTCAATGTGTGAATGAAGCATATGAATGAATCTCAAACACGTTCATATTGATCCTTTTAATAGTCACTTACAAGGTTCACGTTTGCGAAATGAGAAGTTCCAGACGCCTTGTAGAACCCAACCCCAACTCCAACATTGTTTGATGCAGATGATCTCAAATCCCTTCCACCAGCATTCTGATAAAATAGATGTAATATATTTAAGTACAACTACATGTAATATTTAAGTACTTAAATGTTAACCTATTCAGTAGTAGTCTGTCTTTATTGAAATATGCGAAGTTAAATTGTGAGTTTTTGACTCTAACATTGGCTCTGCAAGCATTTTTAAATATAAAGCAGACATGACTGGTTTTGTTAAGTGTGTTTTAATGTTGCAAAAAGTACTGCAATATATTTATTTGTTCATGATAATGCATTCAAGTCAGCCAGAATTCAAATGTGTTCAAAATTATGCCATCATACTGATACATGTCAGGCAAGAATAAACATTTTTAAAAATAGTCCATTTGTTAATCGAAAATTTCCTATATAAAAAGTATTACCTGTGACTTCGCTGAGTACTTCAATATTGAGTTCATTACGAGCTTCGCTGGGACAAACAAGTCGCTCCCAATTTGCAGATACACCTCTTTCTTCACTTGTTTAAACTTCTTGAAAAGTGACATTTCACGAGTGTAGGTGTTCTTATGTCTGAAATATAATATTAGTTTCTTAGACGAAATTCAGTCAAACAGTGCTTAACATTGTCATAATATATGATATCTATATTTTACAATATCTTAAATAAAACGCTGTCAAAAATGTGACATTTATATAACCTTATTTTAACGAAACAAAAGTAACATAATCACATAGACCTAAGTATGAAATAATTTTAATGGCGGTGTAAGTCTGGGGATATTCATTTATTTAATAATATATCGAGTACTTACTCCCATCTAATGGTATTTCTAAGATCGTAGTTAAATTTCCCATCAAGATTAACACCAAGAGTGGATTTAAGTGGCTTTTCAGATGTCACAGTCTGTGACAGCGTCACACCAGCGTCGTATTTGACTGTTAGTTTATAATTACCACTATGTCCTTTGTGTTTGGAGGGTTTCTAAAAAATGATGTCATGATCATCAACATATCATTCAAGTCATAAAAAGTGTATTTACATGAGATCAACCACATATCAAGCACAGAATGTAAAAACTGTGTAAGTGAAATCTACTTACAATTTGTATGTTTTTCTTCATAGTAACTGCAATTTTCTCAGAATAACTGGTAGTCGTTTGACGTTTTCTTCTAGAAAGCTTTAGTATTTCTGTTTCAACTGAGCTGTCATTTTTAACTGCTACAACATTTGTCATGACGTAAAAGTTATGTTGATTATTTGAATATTTGTCGAGTACCTAAAAGAATTGTGTAAAATTAGGATATTTCTCCAGCTGTCAAAATAAAACGAAATTTAAAAACTTAAATATCTGTTCAATGGCTGACACACAAAAATAAACATTGTCAACTTTTAAATATCCGCTCGTTGATTTAAAGGACCTTATACACCCTCCATTGGGATCTCCCCATGGGAAAAAAATAATTCATCTGATTTTTCAAAATGAGTATTCTGCTTCAATTATTACATTTATATGCACACTAGTATCTTGTTGACCTATATTCAGCACTGTATTGATGTATAGGCCACTTATTAGGGTCATAATTCAATCATGAAGTGTAGAGGCATAGATTCCAAACCAGGAAGTATTTTTGTGTCTGCCAAAATCCATTTACATCCTACGCATCCCTGCATCTTATCCAAATATGTTACTACATAATGAAATATAATAGTATAATCTTTGGCTTTACAAACTTGTATGCTATTTGATAAGTGTAAAAGTTGTTTTTGGAGCATTTTTCTTTAGCCATTTTGTAGGGAAAAAATGATGAAAAAATGTACAATCTTTTAATTTTAAGTATGACCTGAATCGATTGCAAACGTCACATTTGCACATTTGATGAGATAAACCATTTGTGTCGTATTGTGAAATTATTAAGTTTGCAATCGATTCAGGTCATAGTGTATTTTTGGTATTTCTGTGATAATCAATGGAAACCAATGGCCTCTATTGGGATCTGCTGATATCCTCATGTTGAGTCAATGATGCAAAGCCCCATGTAAGTCAATACAACCTTACTGAACGAAATGATCCCTATCTCAGCTTATGTGTGTCCGAGCACTTTAATATTTTCCAAAGTATTATATGACATTTTATTCTTCATGTGACACCTACGAATGATTCATTTTGAACATAGGGATATTTGCCAATAATTGCACCTTGTCCTTTACACTATTTATAAACATTGTCAACTTGAATATTTCTTGTGGCTGGCAAACGTTTTAAAAAATACTCAAAAGTCAAAAGCATTCTTAGCTGAAATATAATTCATTAACACGATCAACATTAATAAGCCAGTTGCTGAGACACATTTATTAGAACTTACTCACTTAGTCACCTACCTTAGCTGAAAATTGCTGTGTTCCCCGTCCTTGTATAAAAGACCCCTCGACTACATTCTGCGACTCGTAGGAAGGCATAACTGTACCGCCATAAAGGTTCTGTTCCCCAGATAAACAATTCAGGTGTGGTTTGTATTCATTCCGAGTGCTAAAACCATAAAACATATACAAATGAGTAACATGCTTTTATACCAGCAGATGTCATCTTAGAATCAAAGGGTTTTCTGTTATAAGTCAAGGAGAACCATTTTGGACCACTGAGTATTCCTCTATTGTCTCCCATGTATTATTTGGAGGAATCGTTCTTTATCTAAGATTTGATCTGAAAAATGACTCACATGATACCAGCATTAAACATCAATTGCCTTGTACACTGTGTCAGTCTTGTCTTAGCAATTCTCATTTTGGAATCCTGGACAACAGATGTAACGCTTTCGATGTATCCAAGTGGCGTTCCAACTAAAACATCTCCTATTTCATAAGCTTTGTTATCAGCACTATTTGGTATTACAATCACAAACGACGCAGAATCATCCATACGCTCCCCCAGACAACGAAACATATTTTCTAAAAAGTACCAGGTCGATTGTGTGGAGTTATTACGAAAAATTGTCCTAAATAAGGAATTTCATGCACATCAAATTTATTGTTTCAAAGAGTATATGCGTTTATTTGACTATCATTCAATCGAGGTATAATGGTAACTGGCGACTCATAACCTTGTTCGATGCAGTCGCATTCCCAATGTAATTGCCGACATGTTACCCAGATATGAAAAACGCGAAGGGCTGAGAATAAAACCGTATTTAAAACAGCTAACCGAACTTTTGAAAGTATAAGTCAGTCATGACTGATGTACAAAGACATTGTCTATAGTTCTCACCTCCACCATGGTAAATATTTTTCCTGATTATGCCTAGTCTCCCGAATAGGATTCACTCTGATAGGACTCTGCTTGTTTTCCAGATTTCAACCCGTATTATCATAAAATTAATTGCCAAATGTATAACTTGAATCCATATTGTTTGGCCATGATATAAACAAGGACACAATAGACAAACATACCATCAGTAAAGAAAACTCTACTCCCTGCATCTCTCATGTCCCTCAGTTGATCAAGTAAATCGTCTTCAGTTTCCAGTTCGTCAATTAGTATGTCATTCACCGGTCGAAGTTCAACAGGTTCGTTGAAATCAGAGTAGGTTACCAAATCATTCAAAGATGCCGGTTTACCAGACATTATTGTAAATGTTCCTGAAATGAAAACGTTCTGAAATTTATATTTAGAATAGCCTTCGAAAAAAGGATTGTATAAAAATGACACCATCTATCATTTCCTGTCAATAGCACTGTAGATGATCATTACGTTGTAACATGGGCCTTCAAACATCCACCATTTGAATATCAAGCAGGAATTTTTGTCTCAGAGTGTTCCTTCAGTTGAAGTTCACACGACGAAGCAATTAACATTCACCATGTGACTAACAATGACAAGGAAAGGGAATTCAATTTATGCTGTAGAGGTGTATGAAAGCCCATGATTGTAATGAGGCGGAATTCATAGAAAATACAGGGTTATGATTGAACCCTCATGAAGTTATGAACGTGGTGATTATTTACCAGTTTACCAATGTTTTATATTCCATCTAAAAGAAACGACCATTCTATTCCGAAATCACAATATACAAAGCCATAACCTTCAAAACACTGTCTTAACATGTACCTGAAGAATACTCGGAGAACTTGTATGACTGTATTCGATGTGCTATTCCACCTGCCTGTGGCGACACTATAGCCATTGAATTATACCGTGGAAGGGATACCACATCAAAGACAACGATGACATCAACAGTTTTTGTTGGACATCTCAAAAGTGGCGTTACTTTCGGATCCAAAAACACAACGCCATTCTTTGAAACAGTTTTATCAAACCTTGTGTGTGTATAGTCGATATTGAGAAGTCCATCGGGACATCTTGTGGTGTTCCAAACTTTGCAATCACTCAACTTTAAAAAAGATATTAAAGATAGCAATTTCTTTCGAAGATATTCCTTAAAATCGATAAATATTTTTCAATTTATTCTATTTTCATACCGGATTATTCTCAATGAAACAGTTTTCGATGTCTATACAGCGGTTGCATTTTTCTTGTGTGTAGTAGGGATTGTTTTCACCATCACATTGTTTCCCATTGCAGTCCATTATCTGAAATAATCCTCATGCATATATATAAGAGTTAATATCACTTTGTTTTGTTATCTATTCATGAATCAATTCTGTATTGGCTTGGTGATTGGTGATGGGAAGCACTCTCCCTCTTGAACCCAATTTGTTTTTCGTAACCTCATGGAGAATACGCTCGTTCAGCTAAAATGTTTGAAAACCGAACGATCGGATTATCTGTTTTTGATAATTGATGATATAAGATCGGTTTTATATGTTGAAAATTGATTTTGTAAAGTATCAAATTTATACCTGTCTTTCATTGGTAATAATACAATTTCAGTTTTGGAAATTGATGTAATAAAATATCAGATTCAAATACCTGTATTTCCTTAGAACAAACCGAACGTTCTTTTGTGGTTAGGCAATTGAAATAAAACCAAGCTGGACAGGTAGTTAATGTTGGGGCGTCTCCTCCACCAGGCATGCATTGTTGTGAAGTGTCACACCATCCACATCCAATCTGGTTGCTACATGCGACGCATCCAGTATATCGGGGACAGTAACTCGTTGAACACCCTGCACCCTAAGATATACATTTAGTACAATATAGTCATATATTTGTTTAAATATAGAGCGAAGTGGAAATCATATTCTCACTTTCTCGATTAAGTCATACAAATAAGATGATACCCTCAATCGAACAGAAAATAAAGCTTAGTTGACAAAATTTTGATTTGTGTCACAATATACATTAGAATATATGAAAACCTCCAGAGACAAAGATGGTCAATATATCGTTTGGCAAGTCTCGTTTAAACTAGACGTTCTTAATGATTTATATAAGTAGAGGATATCCTATGATTTTGAGGGATATCATTTCTATCCGCGAGTTGATATCAATATCTGGACGAGTAAGCGTAGTGAATGAGTGCAGATATTGATATTAACTAGTGGATTAACATGATATCACGAAAAAATCATAGGATGATCTAATTATCCCATAGTTGAGGTCCCATAGTTCACCTTTCAAAGCATTTCACAACAACATTCAGTTTTATTTATCTGAACTATAGCGGAAATATTGATCATTTCCATATTTGTGACGTCATGAAATCACCATGTAAGCATATAACATGTAACCATATAACAATGCTCGTCACATTGGCGGGAATTTTCAAATCCGTGGAAAAAAGTGATATCTGTGGAATATTCTCCGTATTCCACAGATATCGCTTTTTTCCATGCATTTGCAAAATAACATAAATATATATACCTGTTATTCTACAGATTTGACCTCAACTATGGGATAATTGTATATATTTTTAAATTCAACGGATAAGTTCCCTTTGTTCATATGTAATTCTAAATTCATTCCCCCATATGTCCTTTATGCATAATAGTACCCCTGACAGATTGAATGATGCAGTCATGTTTTTACTCTATATTTGCAATGGAACAACCATTCTTATTGAAATTTTCAGGATTTATATATTATTCTAGACACAATTTCCAACATGAAAATTACATATTTTAACAAAATTCCTAATTTTATGATTTTGATAGGCTTTTTTGAAAAACACTTTGTCAATAAAATACAGGTTATCCTTGAACAATTGAACTGTTAACGTCATTTCAAATATTGTCTGACTATTGAATTTTTGACCGCCTTAAATCTTTCCAGATATATTTCTTGCCATATTAATAATTATGGCTTATTCATTTTAGTCATATTCAACATTATTAAAAGTGCATTAGCCCAATGAAAACTTGTTGCTCTGGGTCTCGTTTTGTGTAGCATTCCAAAGATTAAGCCCACATAGAGGAGGTCAAACTTCTTGTTAACGGACACGAGTTCAACCCAATAAAACTGTTCAATAGTGTCCAAAATGAAGTAAAAAATAACGAATCTCCAACTTCAAGTATTCCCGACAGTACATCCTTCAGAGATGTTAATATAACTGTATCTAATTCTATCATGAAATTGTCAGGGAAACATGACATATTCAAAGCATGGTACAATTTACGTGCCACAGGGTTGCATGCTGAGTGACGGTGGTGGGAAAACCCAGTGGCAAAAAAAGTTGCGTAATCAGAGGAAACGTGAACCAGAGTGACATTTAGTTTTTCATAGGCCCAATACACTATAATAAGATTACATATGGCATAGCATATGGCAACAAGTACATCTATAAAACGTTAGGCAGCCAAGAATTCAATAGCTAGACAATATTTGAAATGACGTTCAAAGTTATTCAAGTAAAAACCTGTATTTTATTGAGTGAAGTGTTTTTGAAAAAAGCCTATCAAAATCATAAAATTAGGAATTTTGTTAAAATATTTAATTTCAATATGGAAAATTGTCTCCAAAATAAAACATGAACATTTCGATAAGAATGGTTGATCTATTGTAACTATAGAGTAAAAACACGACTGTATCATTCAACCTGTCGGGTTAGATTGATAAACATAAGCGGTTAAGATAACCAGTATGTGTTTGTTTGAAATTTAAATCGAGTTTGTATTTATGTTTTTTAATATATCTAAGAACATTGAGTGAAATCATGGCATCTTTAGAAATTATAGTTCTGTTTATTAAGCCTAAGTATTATTAAGTACTAAGTATTATTAATGCATTTTTATACAACTATATACTTACATACCACCCTTGCTTACAGCGGCACTGATTGCATTTTCCAAATTGTCCACAGTTGTTGACATCCTTACAGTTATAAACAGAACAGTCGTTGCCATACCAACCATTATCACACACGCAACTATTTCCCAAACACTTACCATTGTAAGAACAACTATTTGGACATTGGCTTGCTAAAATAAAGAGAGCATTAGGATCAAACGATTGAGAGAATTAGGATCAAATGATGCTGTCAACCATTCCTGCTATACAGTCAAGCCAAGTAACTAAGTCAATATTCGAAAATAAAAATCTCAAAAATCGTACATCTTTGATTTCCAAAATAATTTGTGAGGTGGTTATTAAGATGATAAAACACATTTTAACGTATTAATTTTGAGTACATCTCGAGTCCATTCCCAACAAAGCGTTCTCGAAATCAGTATTCGAAATATTTGAGTTCGGGATGATAAAATTACGTTAAGATATACCGCTCCTTAACAAACTCCTTTGGGAACACGATATAGAATCAAATGCATATTCTTTTTATTTACTCCCTGACACATGCCAACGAATGTTACATAAGTAAATATCTCCGTTTTAAATAAATTTGTAAACGTTGTTCTCTACAGGTGCCATTTTTTATAATTGAAAAACAAAATTGAACATTTTGCATTTCTAAATTGATAAGTTTCTTGGAATACAACTTAACCGTTAACGATTTAGGTCATTAATAATATTTCCCTTAGTGATCCCATGCTAAATCGACAGTAACTAGGTCATTGTTTTGAGTTCAAACTTGTTTTCATGACTTTCAAGCACGAGTCGACAATTATGTAGGAAATTTCAATTCCAAATGTAATCGTGTCAACTCCTGTTTTTGCACAAAATTTAGCCTTTTATAATGATAGATCGTCAAAATCTGCATGTACCTCTCACTGAGGCGACATGTTTTTAAATTTATAGATGCTGAGCTATAAACTCAAACAAAAATTCAAACCACCCGCTATTATTTGATTACACAAGACGAAATTTCCATTCCAGGGGAGCACTGTGGTAACACTTTGAAGGAAGATTCTCGAAAAATCGTTCGAATTTTCACAAAAGGTTTCACGCAATTTTATTGCTTTGTTTCAGCCTCGACTAATATCATACTCAAATCCGATACCATTATTATAAATTAAAATGAAACATTAAACTCACCAGGTTATACTGTATGATAAACCGTTTCGAGAATCGATGATTTGAGTTAACTGTGGATATTTATATAAATGTAAGTCAGCGTGTATTCGACAGTTTATGTACATATATGATATATACATCAACGTGTGACTTAGATATCAATTCGTGACTATCATATTTGGCTTTCAAAAATTAAGTTGGAAGTTACAGTGGTTGGAGATTAACGAATACGTCAATCACATCCAAATATCCAAACGACCTTAAGTATTAACGATACACTTTTCGTCCATCTCGAACAAGGCAAGGTTCTGTGATCCAGCAATGTGCATTACAAAAGAAAAAATTCACAAATATCAACAAATTTCATTGAGTTGGATATAACTTTCGAAATATTTGTTTTAACCACGATTTGCACGAACTTCAAACATGTTGTTAGTTTTTCAAATCGCATATCCTCATTTACATTCTTTGAAAAGGATGAGTTCATTTGAAAATATGGATTTTCTTGATTATTATTCAAATCTACCCTCGAAATATAAGTATGTGGGATATTACAGTGTAAATTGACACGCATTTATTTGCTCCATATTATAAAAAAATAAATGCAGTACCATCTTTCAATATTTGAAAACAGAAAATTCATTCTGTATGTAAACAAGAAAAAATACTTTTATGTTTGATTCATAATGAAAAATGACAAATAACATACATATTTTAAAGTAGGGGTATACATGGACATAGTGGAAATTCAGAAATTTAAACCATATCCCCAAGATTGCTTCAACAATATGCAACAGAACATCAAAATTATCATTTACACGTTTGCTGATAGGTTTATTGAAAATAATTTAACAGAGGTTTACTTCAATTGTGGCACCATTTTTAGTAAATATTGATGAACATACGAATATCGAATGTTGACTAAGTTACTTGACTTGACCGTATAACGACATGTTTTCTTGTTGGAAAACACATATTTATTAGCATATTATTAACCTTAATTTAAGCATAATTATTCGAACTTACGCTGTTCTTTGTAACATACTGTTGGATATGTATGGCTGCAGTTCGTGGTTTTCTCTGATTTCGAACGTGTATCATACACCTTGCATTCCTTAAAAATGTAAGAGATGAGCATGTAATGATGTTGTACTTTATTTAATATGATGCCATAATTAGCATATTTTTCTTATTTTTAAAGCAATGAACACATACATGTATCATTTGTTTATAGTAAACGTTGATAGCAAAATCTTTTAATTGCAGATCTTAGAGTCAATCGATATTCTCGATGAGTTTGAATTAAAAGAAAAAAATTGAATGTGATCTTATAAAATAACTAGTTCTCAAAGGAAACTACTCGAGCTTTTTTAAACAGTTTCAGACCTTTAAGGAATCCTGACGTGTCCAAATAAGGGGGGAATCCACACCCTTGTCGTTCAGTGCTTTCAAAATATCATCCAAAAGAAAGATATCTGATTTCATCATCACACCGCCTGCATTCTGTGTGAGAATATAGAATGGTTTAAGAATACAAACAATCACAATTAATTTACAAAGTTTTACCAATCTAAGGTAGATTCCAAAATACACTAAAACTGACATAACATGCAATGTGTAACTAATAATTTGAATTAAAGGTCTTTACAGATTAAACATATGTAGATCAAGGGGCAACATGACAATGCTGTAATGTATCGGTACGATCAATTATAGACTGATATGTTTTAAATATGTTCAGCAATCGCATTTTGAAAAGTGCCAATTTTAATCATGTACCTTGCATATTTTCAAAGAATAACTGTGTGCGTTAGCACCTCTAGTCACATAGTAACACGTTCCCCTAATGTCAATCCATCCGAAATCACAACTTCCTACAACATATTTTGGAAATAATTATTAAGATTGGCAAGGAATTTTTAAAGGTAAATTGTCTAACCTTAAATACTTTGAGTTTCTTAACTTGTTTTGAAGACCTCAATGTACAATTATAATATTGAAGTTTGATATGTAAACAAGCAGTTCATTTTGAATAACATTTAATTGATCTACCTAATATTTGCTTAGGAGACTGCGCAATGGGCTTGATTTGAAAACCAGGAAGGGATTGGTCAATATTAGTACTACGTAATCTAGCAGCGACATCTACTGTGGACATACTACTTCCCCACCAATTTCTCGCTGCTTGCACTGTTGGATAACCAATCACTGACGTCATCTCAAATGCATTTGCTGGGTTTTCCAACCAGTTATTGATGTATTTGGTATTCACACCTTGCGCTATAATCGTAATTTTATCACTGGGTTGTTCACCGATGTTGTTCCGAACAAGGTTTTTAGTGAATAACGATGCTTCTTGTCTTTGTTTCCACCATATAAGCTTACTTCCCCTATTGTTAACAAAACTGTTTCCTTTAATTGTACCATCTATGTCATCAATCCAGATTATTGGCATTGTTGTCTCATTCAAAAGTGTTTCATCCGCGTTGTTTGTGATGTCATTATCGAGAATATAAAAGTTTCCACTGTCCGTCAAATTTTCAGATTTATCTTTGATATAAACAAGAGTCTGCCCAGTGTTTTGCGTGATGTTGTTATAAGCTAGAAGAATTTTGGAGTTACCATTGTTCGACTCAGATTGAATATTTGCTATCCATTTATTTTTCTTGAATTGGTTATGATTGATAGTAATGGAGCTATTTTCAGAAACTATGTTAATACTTTTATAATTTGACATGAATGTAGATCTTTCAATATGAATATCTGGGGTGGATGATCCAGTTAAAACCGCTTTGACACCGTCGCCATTATTTGTGATGATACTACTTTCAATTGTGACTCGCTGTTTTGGGAACTCTGAAAATATTAAATAAAACAGGATAAACTTGAAATGTATTGGACCTTTAATTATGTATAATTAGCAAAACATACGGTTTTCTGTTTTGGGAACTAATAATAAAAACATACTTCTTGAATGTGTGACTATATATACATGACTGAGGTGCGAAAATATAGTATTTGCAGACAAAATTGAGAAAATCCAATAATATATTCAAAAAGTGCCAATACTACATGTACCTTTGAACAAATGGTCAACCTCGTACACTTCTACAGCATAATTTGAATTCCCTTCCCTAGTCATCATCAGTCGCATGGTGAATGTTACTTGATTCGTCGTGTGAACTTCAACTGAAGGAACTCTCTCAGACAGGAATTCCTCGCTTGGTATCAGATTTCTTCCGTTGTAGGCTTGCAGGAGAAATGATGTTAAGTTCGAATGGTGTATGGTTCGAAAATTAAGATTTTTTCCATTAATAGAAGTAAATGTTTTTGCACAAATCATTTCATTTGGATATTGATATCCGTCACCATATGCAAAGACAGCCATTATTGCTCCATTCACTTCAAACGTTTTGACGTTGTAGTCACACATATTTGGAATACCATAGATTTCATCTTTGATGTTGTGATATTGTTCTAGAATGTTTCTATAAGGAAATCCTAGATGGGATAGTTTTATGGCTGAACCATCACAATTCTGTATTGAGGCATGTGATATTTTCATCCTATCAGAAATATTGAACGCAACAAGACCATCACTTGGGTAACTGTTACGTGTACAATCTATATTGATTGCAGTCATCCTCGGTGGTTTACCAACTATTGTAACTACTGGGCTGCTGCCTATATTCCCAGAACTGCGAACATTGCCGAGCATTACATTAGTTAGAATTGATCGCTGCTGGCTCTCTGTCACCGAGAAATAAATCCCGTTCCACTTGCTTAAGGAAGAAAATAAGACTGGGTCTGAATAGTTACCTTCTGCATGTAGAGTACCGAGGATAAGCATTCTGCTGCCGCGACTGAACAGTATTTTTGTACCAGGACCGACTGTTAAAATCATTCCACGAGGAACTATTATGTCACCTTCAGAGGTGTATCTTTCGTTTTGGAGTAGTGTAGTGTCTGAACAAAGTATCCCTCCTATTGTAGGCGGTGTGAATGAGAATGGACAATCAACTGGAGACAATAGGACACCATTTTGTTTATCTAAATAGGGCATGTACTCAACTTTAGCATATCTGCTTGAGTCTGCGAAGTGAGTTATCCTCTTTTCTATTGCAGAAGACTCTATAGTGCCCCAGAAATTCTCGCGAAAGTCAAGAAGGTTTCCCATGCCATTGGAGCGTGATTTTATGCAAATCTCTTGATTTACTGATGGATTGTTCAACACATTGTTTTGAAAACGTATATTCTGTACACCTTTAATGTTTATAAAACAGTTACCTGTAGCTGTATTATTCTCAATGATATTTCCAAAGAACTTTGTTGTTGGTGAAGAGATATTCATGTAGGCATGCTCTGTCATTCCGAAGCGTATACCTCCTCTATTGTCATATATCAAATTATCGCACAAGGTCAGATTCTTTTCTTTTCCAAATATATCAAGTATGTTGTCGTTGTCATGGAATATATTGTTGTTTATTTCAAACATCGCTTGATCTCCATAGAAGTAAAAACCATATAAGGAACAATACGAAAACGAACTGTTTTCAATATGTACATTGGGATTGCGAAATTCTTTGTCATCAATATCGTGATCATAGTGGTAAAACTTCATTCCATATTGTGCATTGCTCACTTGTACTTTGTTCACATTCAAAACCATATCGCCTTGACGTCCCCCACGTTTACGAACATAAATTCCATAGTTTGAGTTGTCAATAATGACATCTTTAATCTGTAGATTCGAATCCTGAAATGGTTGACCATTTTTGGAAATGTACCTTTCTATTTTTATATAAATACCGTACTCGGAGTTACGAGTTGGACTCTCAAAGAATGAGTTTACAATTCTAGCATGGAATGGAACAGTATGAATCATTGAATGTTTTCCAAAATAATTCCATGGATTGATGCGGTTGTTATTATTCATAACATTCCTAATGTACATTCCATAACTGCGGTGATTTACTGAAGTTATGTTCCGAATTTCAATCACTGGAGATTGCTTGAATGGAGTGATACTTTCGCGTTCAACACTCGTGATAATAGCGATAAAACGACAGTAATATGCTGAACTACATCCTGAAAAATTAAACTCTAGTTCGTTGTTGGTAGAAGTAACCCATGTTCTCAAGGAATTAGGTGTAATTTCTGTTGTTGAACCATCATTATGAATTCTGATTACACTTTCACCATGATATTCGAAAATGTTAATAAGTTGAAATGATAATCTGCTATTTGGCAAAGTGGTGATAGTGACATTTCTACCAGAGAAGCATGGTCTATAACTCATTTTATATAGGACGATTGTCTCAGAGGTAGAAATGAATAAATCTTCAGTGGGATTCCAGTTTTGGTGACAATTGTATAGCGAACCCTGTCTTAGAAAATATACTTGGGATCGAGCACTGTACCCTACATCCGGATCAATTCGAACTGCCTCTAGAGCATCATTAAAAATCGAATCTGTTAATCTAGTATCCAAACTACGAATACGAACACCTTTATTTGACTGAACATCATGAACGTCTGTTGTATACACAGGGTCGGAATGGTACAAATCAATGGCGTAGCTAGAATAACAATTTTTGAATATCAAGTGGTTCATGCTATGTTTACCAATATCGCTGATAATACAACCCGGTGGTGATTGACTGACATCTTGTTTGCCACAATTGTCAAATATGATATGACGAAGAGTGCTCCGTTCTGCAGAAAGAGAAAACCGTATCCCCATCCAACCTATACTGGCGTTCATGACGATTTGATCCGTCGATGATCCCTCGGCTATGAGTTTTCCTTGCACAATCATGCCAATATAGTCATCAAATATTAGCTTTGTTCCAGCCACTATCGTCAGGGTAACATTCGGGTAAACATGTAAATCGTCCGTGATTTTGTACTCTGTCATATCAAGCGTCAAATGTTCTGTAATGGCGCCACCAATCACATTGCCATTTGTTCTAGAAAATATAGATTCTGTCTCGTTACTCGTGGTGGTCATGCTACCGTCATTGAAGTAGGGAAGAATATCCAGTGTTACATAAAAATTGTATCGTCTTTGGTGATCCAAAATGCCATTCTGAATAGACTGAAGATCTTGACTACCCCAATAATTGTAGGAGGCATCATAAATAATTGGCCAAGAATTTCGACTCCTCCATATTGCGACTTGAAAGTCACTCCGGGGATTTTCAAAATAGTTGTAATGCAGTTCCAATGTCGAGTAATCAGTTCGTTGAGAAACGACTGCAGGAACTTCGGCTCGCTTTTGGTTATAAAGCAAAATTGAGTTGTTTGTAAAACTGTTGTTATTGATTTTTATTATTTGCCTACTATCTTTCAAATTCAAAACATATTCTCCATAATTCTCAGTGAATCTATTGTTTGAAATCGTGATTCTTTTATTTTGTCCATATTCAAGATATGCGTTTTTGTTATTCTGAAATATATTTCTTACGGTTGTTGAAGTACATGGAGAGCAAGAGTAGTCGGATATCTGTACAGCTGATTCTGAATTATTGTTGAATGTATTGTTTTCAATAAAAATTGATTCATCCCGAACAGCAACCAAACTTGTTTGTGGACTAGGATTTTTCATAAATCCATATTTATTATGTTCAAATACGTTTTTCGTAAGGTTAACGCTCACATGTTTGCCTTTTATGCCAGCTGCACGAATCGTTGCATCGTATCCAAGATACAAGCCAGTGTGAATGTTGTTACTAAATATGCAATGTTTAACGCTCACGTCACGGCCATCTGGGGTTATTTTTAATGTATCGTTGTCAAATGTACTGTGCATAACAGATATGCTCGAAGCTCCACCAATAATAGATGAACAGTTGTTTTGATGAATTGCATGTGACCTTCGATCGTTACAATTGCCAGAGAGTACCACGTTCTCAATTGCAACGTGTCTTCTTGGTTCAACGATGAAAACTCCACCATGACCGTTATCTCTAAAGCTGGATGACTGGATCGTAATGTCTTGTTGCATGACATCTTCTATAATATTGAAAGCATGAAAAATCTTTAAAATGTATATAATTATCGAACTCTGCCTCATACAGCTTTTTAATTAAGAAATAAAGACCGAAGAGCAGGGCTTCTAGTTTCGAATACAACCCCGCAGGTCTCGGCACAAACGTTTTCGACCGAAGGGAGTGAGGGGTTCGAAAGCTTTTTTTGCCAAACCTAAGGGGTGTATTCGAAACTAGTAGCCCTGCTCTGAGGTCCATATTACGATTCGAACATGAAAACTCACCAGAATATTGCAAAAACGTCAATTTCGAAGTTCATTTACATTTTTTCTTTTCTATTTCCGGTTCCGTCGCTTGGCTGTTTCAAATTGTTTACTTACCTCCTGACCAAGGCATTAACATGCAAAATATCACCACCTGTCATTTAAGGTATGAGTACCGTAATCCAACACCAAATTGGAATTTCACAACAATACTTTGCACATTTGGCGTTCGTGATCAACTATAAAACGCTTACCCCCCATAGTGCTATATATCAAAATGTACCTGTTCATATAGGGGTTCGATTGATCTAATCAAATTATAGGGAGTCTTACTTTTTGAGATATCAGGGTCCATTTATTGTCACTCGCGTTTGCTACCATTTCCTCAATTCTTAGATGATGGGCAAACGCGTAGTAAACATGATCACGTCGGAAGTATTTTGACCTACATCGCTATTTTCGTAATTCAAATGAAAGCTGAATTCCTCCTCTTTATTTGATACCAAATAGTGGCATACTAGGTACCCTTTACCCAACTATGGGGTTATTTAGAACAATACCACAGGTTTTTAAATGGACTATATAGGGGTCATACCTTTTGGCGGAATACAGCCATGTTCGAATCAAGAATATTGCCCCTGACGTTAAAATATTTGATATTGTTTGCTTTGACCCAGTGACACCATCATTTGAAAAGTAAAGGGAAATTTTAAATGATGGAGTGCTATATATATGCTGAAAGCAATGTTTTTTAAAAACATGACAATATTATTTATATACAAAACTTCAGGATATAATGTATAACACTTCAATTGCAATATACAGAAAATTTGAGTTGAATTGAAGACTGTTCAAGAAAGTCAGAGCATATAATGCATTTCTACTGGGACAACCCTTGTATATTGAAAATGGTATAATTTAGATAAAGAATATCGAAAATGTATATGTCTGTTACCGTTACTTTTGGTTGACTGGATTAAAAGTGTCACTTGTAGTCTACGGAGACCACAATCGAGTCGAAACCACAATTCATCAAGTGTGCTGAGGACATCAGGAGTGTACGTTTTCTGACTTCTGGAGAGATATACTTCTCTTAACAAAGTTCCTGTAGCGTTCCCATCTCTTATTTGTAATCTATCCCTGGTACTAGTTGACCCTGACCAAACGGCCGTTAAGTTTTTGAAAGATGCAAGAATGTTCCAGCCTTTGCCAGTTTTAAAACTCTGAAAACGAAACGACAGTTGACGATTGTCCATTTTATGAAAGAAGTTTCTATGAATGTTCATCTCTCTGGTAGTAATGTACTATTAACAAAGTTGTTGATTTTCTTTCTCAGAGATTTTTTTGATGTTTCGTAGGATGTCCATCAGTTTGAAGTTTACTATGGTGACGGTTCCTATTTGTCTCATTGTTATGTAATACTTAATTATTTCAGTTTGATTCAAATATAATTTTATTTCTGAAGAAGTAGGATGGAAATCCGTCAAAGGAAAAATAAATATCTCTGAGAAAGAAAATCAACAACTTTGTTAATATAACATTAAAGAAGTTATATTTGGTAATCAACACCATCTTGAAAAATTCTTATCTTAAGGACGTCAAATTAGACGTTGGCCAAATCCTAAACCTAAAGGCACTTTGCTTAAAGTGAGACTCACATCAAAAATCTCATTTTGTACAGAGATCCAGTTCAACGATTTTTCTATAAGTATTAAATTACCATGAACATATTTACGCAACAATGGTAAAGACAACCAAGGGGTGCATGGCCTATCAAAAGCTAACGTACTGTATTTATATTATAATAGATCAGGCGGTTTTACAATGGATCACTGTAGGGACAACACTTTCCCTGCTCAGTGGGGGATTTTCTGTTAACATAGAATGAAACGTTAAAATATGGTTTACTTGAATACATCCACTTCTCATGTCAGTTTGAGGTGTATCTATCATCACTTCTACTGCTTCTCCTGCAGACAATTCTGTAGTCTCCACTCCTGGTGTACAAAACATCATTTTTCTTTGAGGAGATGGCTCTGGTAGTCGAATATAGGTGGTGCCAGTATCGCCATTGTCGGATGCCTCCACACGCTCTATGTTTACTTGGCCAGTGTATGTTTCAATGTGGATTCCACTAAGGGTGTTGTTGACGAAGTTCGAATCGGTGATATTGATGTGGTGACGCATGCGTAGTATGCTCAATCCGATGCCGGGAGATTCTGTGATTGCGACATGTCGTAAAACTAGTGCAGTTTGATATTGATCGATGGTTAGTTGACAACGGTGTATATTTGTATATGTTGCCAAAAGTGTACTCCCTGGATGTAGGTGTATTCCGCAAGAATCAGTTCCTTGAAATGAAGAAAACATATAATGTATTTGACCCCGTTTTATACTAACCCGTTCGTTCACATTTTCAGAATCAAAGGTTTTTTAAAGGTTTGATTTTCAAATTCATGTTAAAGGACTGTTAAAGGGCAGATATTGTATGAAAAAAATTTACTATTGGAAGAATTCAAGAAAAAATAGGAAGGCAGCAGGGTATGCCCCCTGACACAAAACCAGTGGACCACGGGTTTTAATTGAATTCTTCAAGAACTCTGATTTTGAATTATCTTGGTAATGGTTTCACAAGGTAGATAGGAACAGAAGAAGTTTCAGCCAGGTGTCCAAAAATAAGCAAGTATATTCTTGTATCATGTCCACATCAACTATTATACTGCGATGTATACTCTGTTTTTCAATAATATACAAAATAACATCTTAAAAAGAAACCTGAATACTCGGTTTCACGTCAAGCAAGATTCAGGAAAACCTGTTATATTTAATTATTTACTCATATACATGTTTGAGGAATTATATACAAATATTAGAAAAGAAATAACATGTCCAAATAGCATATTATTATATCACTGTCATATTCCCCTCTCTCTTATTGGTCTAAACCAGACACGTGAACAAAAAACAAGAAGACTTATTTATCTCAAAACTATAGAGAGATTACTTTAACAAGAATTTTGGGAAAAGTATATACTTCTATTTTTAGAGTCAATATTAGCACAGTTTCTATCTCAGAATCACGTCCAGTGATCGGAAAATGAACGGAGGGAGCTTAAATAAATTTTCAAGTAAAAGTTTACAATTGAATTTGCTCAATATATTAGGCGCATGACACGGGTAAATATGTTAAATCTTCTAAAAAATGGAATGAATATGCTTTCATAAGATCTATTAAGAAAGGTGAAGCGTCCCTACAGGCAAATGTCAAATTGCTATAAATCAAGCAACAATATGCTCTACACGATCTGTAATAATTACTTTTAATAGACTAGCGAGAGTAGAAATAATCTTGATTTACATAATTAAATATTCAAAATTCAGTCAAACTGATATAATCTTTGAAATCTACATACAAGACAGCTTTTGTAAGAGATTTGTAAATCAGTGTCTAGCATCGTGAATTAAAATAGTGTCTTGGAGCGTTTAAGTCAGTTTGTTTCAGAGTTTTCTTGGAGTAACCAGATCAGTATGATATAAGATAAAGTACGTAAAACTAAAATATTAAAGTAATTTAATCGTTAATTAATTCACCTAAATGTGCTTTGAAGGACACAACGTACAATTCAAGTGACAGGAAAGTGTGCGTATTGATGAACTATTTATACACGTTAGGGATAGTCATTGCGTGACCTTCGCAACTGCTGGTGTCTGAACAAGGTGTAAGATTTTCTCGATTAAGCAAGAAAAACGAATAATTTTCATATTTATACTTTGTTAAATGCTTCAAATCCCGCCCCACTTTCGCATACTATCTTAGTCTTTCAAATGAACCTAAATTTACAAGCCGAGGACGCATATCTTTTGAGATATCTCTTTAGTTTTTTATTTCGAAAAATGATGATGTCTGAACAGCTCTAAAATTCTGCATGATGGTGTCTGTACAGATTTTAATAACACTACTTGGAAAGTTTGTTTTCGTGTTATTTTTAAATATAGCTGCGTCTTTCCAATGTGTTGTAGCATTTGAACATTGTAATTTAGAAACTCTGGTTTCCAAATCCAAAGAGAGGGGCGTGCCATGTTATTTTTTATTTCAAATGCTATAATTGTTTAATTTTGGATGAAACCAAAATCAACCTAGAATTGTGATATTTGCCTGTTATCACTGCCATCCATTTGCTGAATTTCCAACACTGAACGATTTGCATATCATGTGTGGGACAATCATCCATCAGAGGAAATTAGATACATTGTGTATTGTCACCAGAAATTGGGCGATTAGGTTATTTGATTAGACGTTATTTATCCGATATTACAAAAGATTACTTGATGTACTTGAATAAAACAAAATAAAATTAGTTCAGTCAATCGATTTAGACTGCCATGGATGGTATTACTCAGTAAAGCCTGTCACCTTTTGAGAGGCCAGAGAAATGATAAAATATTGGTGATGTCATTGGTTGTAGGTAAAAATCTGACCAATCAAAATACAGGATTTCTTCTTGATGTCATTTTCCTGATTAAAGTCAATTGCTCTGCAAAAGTATTGAACATTTATAGGGTCTAGCTTCTGCATTGTAAAATAAATTTTTAAATATAGGCTTTTGTATTGAAAAAATCGTTCCTCATACCCACGTACGTAAGTCGTGATACAGTTTTTGAAGGGTTCAATTTTTAAAGCTTGAAAGGATCAGGGAAAATCTACAATAAATTGGGTTGTATATGTTGGAGACTTGCTAAATGGAATTTTGTGCTTCATTTGGTTTATCGTAAATTTTGTAATGCAACCTAAATGTGGCAATATAGTCACACATTAAAGACGATTTCCTGAAAGTCCCCAGCAGAGGATTTTTTTAGTGAACCAATTTCCCTTATTATTCAATTGTATAGTCATATTCTTAATCCACTTTGTACATTTGTTGCACAAGTATAGTCAATATCCAAAATGGTACAAAACATTTCGAAGCAAATGTGTGACACATACACTCAGCATATACACATATTTCAAAGCAAATGCGTGACATACGGAACTCGCATGCAAAGTTGTGACAATCACAAACAATGCACGAGGGTTGACAGGGCAGCTTATTTATAGTGACATTAATACGAGTGACAGATTCTATTGATGAAGGATAAAATAGCAAAGATAAACAATTTTGTAATTCTGGCCTTATTTTATAACAAAACAAACGTTAGATCTGTATTACATACATGTCAGCCTTTGAGCGCTAGTGCACTAATGCATTGACAATCCAGCATAGACGAAGAGTTATGATCTTATATTTTAAAAATTGAACCCTTCGAAGACTGTATCATGCCCCATGCACGTGGGTCGGGACGTGGGTACGAGGTACGAGGTTTTTATACAAAACCTTAAATATACTAGAGTACGGGAATGCATAGAATATAATAAACAATTACACATGAAAACATGGAGACTGGTATTCATGTCGTGTATTAAAAATCTGTACGGACACCATCATACAGAATTTTAGAGCTGTCAGACACCATCATTTTTCAAAACGAAGAAAAATGATATCTCAAAAATATGCGTCCTATGCTTGTCAATTTAGGCTCGTTGAAAAGACTGCGATAGTATACATAAGTGGGGAGAAATATGACGCTGTTAACAAAGTATAAATATGAAAAATAATCATTTTTCTGGCTTATACGAGAAAATCGAACACCGTGTTCAGACACCATCAATTACGAAGGTCACGTGATAACTATCCCCACCGTCTCGTAGTATGCACTCTTATGCTTTTTATTACCCCAATTTTATTTCACACGTTTACTGTGATCTTATGTCTACATGAATTTTGAGTGGTGTGTGTTTATCATTTATAAAAAATGTTATAAAAGTTATATTGACTTTAAAAGCCATAAAATGTAATAATACATTTGATATTTACTCGTCCTTTTGACATTCCCAACCTGTTTACATTTGTTATAATATAAAAACAATCGTTCAAATCAGAATTATGATCAGTAAATAGTACCCTATCAATTTTGTTGACACAGGTTGACCTTGTTATTGCATTCTAATATCCCATACATGATTAAAGGAGATTATCTAGGATGAAAAATCGTAGAGATTATCATTGTTATTGTGAAAAATTGTCGCAATAAAAATGAATACTTCAAGCAACATCGTACTTACCCGAAGCCCCCACAAGGTTAATCTCCCGGCTGCTTTGCCCGACGACCTGTAGTACCCCATGGACCTGAACTGACGCTCCAGGATCGAACTGTATTGTAATGTGGGGATGAATAGTGAGATTGCCTTTCTCGGTTACAGTGACCTAGTTTTAAAAATATGCAGGTTTAAGAAACATGTTTAATTTATGGGGAGTTCCAATACGTTTAACAATTCCATGTAAATTAATATTTGACCAATTGTTATTATTAGAGATTTTTGTATTAAATGAAGCAAGTATATATGGCTCTCAGATAAGCTCAAAATGGGCCAGAAAGGGCATGAATTTCAAAAATGTTCCGTGTGCCGCATGATCCCAGACCACCAAGCTCGCAGCGCTTAGCGCCGACAACGATTTGCGCTGGCACAGTCCACCCGTCGCCCCCCCCCCCCCTCTCGAGAAATCATTCGGAAGGGACTGGAGTTATACAAGTATTCTCTTTTACAATGCTTCGTATTTTATTCTAAGCATCACTGACACATGGAAAATATACTTACGTTTCCTGATGCTAGATAGGGACTGTTGTCTAGCGTTAGACTTACGTCGCTATCTATAAATCCCGGTAATGCCGTTTCGCATTTCCCGTTTCCAAGCAAGGTTGTGGAAAGTAAAAGCAGGTAAATTGAAAATGAAGACGCCATCGTGGTTTATACTGTGGGTCTAATCTCTCAAAAATACTATAAGTCGGTGAATTTATATTTATAAAGGCAACTTAACAACCTGAATAAGTAGCTCTACCAATCTCAGTTTGATAAAGAAATGCTTCGCAGAAACTTTTAAACCAGGAAGTAAAAAGATGAAACTATATATACTTGAATTTATACTTTAATTTATACTTGAATTGTTTGACGTGATCGGTCGAGCAATAAACAACACTCAAAGGGTATTTCACGAATATTTATAATTATGCTATTTTCCATTTCTCAATAAAGCAGGAGGGAAATTAGCGCAACAGATTTTTGACAGTCATATGTTGGATTTTGGCCATTTTCTGAGGATTTAAACAATTGCATATGTTAGGCCAATGCATTACCTCCAGGAAAACCACTTCTAGAGATGATAAAATAATTTCGACTTTGAGACAGGGTAGATGTAAACAACCCACCAACATGTTTTTTCTGAAATGTTTTCCTAATTTTCGACCCATTTCACCCCTGCTTTCTTAATTTTTCTTGCATCAACTGCTCATTGCACTAAACACTAAATAATCTGAAATATACAAATGTCATTCGTGTCCAATATGAATATACTTGTCTATATATTATGGCACAATGGTCTATAGATATCTTATTTTTCAGGTTCAACTGCTTGCCTTTGAAGCAGTGTGACAGACAATAGTGTATGTAATTCATAGTTTCAATTCAGTGAGCTACGTTTCCAGACTTGGATGTGTCTTGCATCTATCTGTTGCAAAAGCTTTGATTGCAAAAGTAGAGCCCGCTGTTGGATAACATCATATTCGTTACATTTAAAAGTTAATTATCTCAAGCCAAATTAGCATTATTATTAGTATTTTATTAAGATTTTATCACTATGGGTCATGGGATTCAGGTACATTTCATAATTATAAATATTTGTCTGTTCAACTTATTACTTGGTAATAGAGAATTAATAAACTCAGCATTTTTACATACTCACTGGGTGGGATCGTTTAGGTCTAATTTTGTGACGCTAATGGAGCTTGACATTTTATTAAGAGTTTTGAAATATTTTATTTACCTAAAAATTGATTAATATTGGACAAAATTGGCAAATCAACCACTATTCGGCTAAAATAAAGGCGGAAGTAAATTTTGATTCAGCACTAAGTTTTTGAAACCTGCGTGACTTTCTGGTTTAGAGTGTCCTCGGGTGAAATCGTCGGGTGAAATCGTCACATGACTCATCAAATGTCGTAACGTTTGAGTTATTTCGATTCGAGCAATATCGCCTGTCACTAAGCTACGATAAGTTGACCTAACAATACTACATAGAATAGCTACATACACCGCTTACATACAGTTCGCCTAAAACTACATTCGTATGATGCGAAATTCGACATTCAAAGCCATGTAGCAAATTATTTTTTAGTACTAATAAATAATAAGTAATTTTAGACTCGGGTTTTTATATAAAGGAAATAAAACAATACAGTTCATACGAATGTAATGTTAGGCGATCTGTCTGCATGGAGTGATATATGATAATAAATTAAAATTATCGTATTTCTGTGTCAAAGCTACCAATAGAAAGGAACTTAAAGAAAAACTCTCACAATGGTATTCCAATCACATTTTAGATAACGAAACAAAAGGTAAATTTACTTTAATTCAATAGTTAGAGTGAAAGGCAACCCGTTTGTAAAGGGATAATATACGTCGTTCGATATCAATTTTAGCAAATATGGTTAAAATAGATGTCATATAGCGCCGTGTATTTGATATACGCTGTGTGGATGCCATGTGCATGATGTAATAAGCTTTGTTTCCGGACATCCAGTACCATCGTTCACTAGACGTGAAGCAAGCGGGGCAACGCACTGCCTTACTAAACGTGCACCGTTATTCGGATGTTCTATCAACTAAACGGTGAAAAAGAAAATGAAATCCAATCGTAGCGATATGAGCTTGTAATAAAAAGATAAAATTGGGAGACCTCGTGCCATATACATGTACACTGTACATACCCTCACCATTTACCCCCTCCCCCTCTATACATTACGTTGGTCTCAGTCTGGTGACAGTTTTCTGTTTAGCTCCATATTTCGATCACGAAGCCATGAATATTGGAGTACCCCCCCCCCGGGAATAATGTATGCATTCCAAATATAACAAAGAATCACTTCTCTTCTATCGAAATATCAAATGCCAAAATTATTTGTTTAGCTAGGATATTGGCCACAAGTGAATTCTGCGAGACAAAATGGCGACCATTTTGAGTCACGGGGGGAGTTTCTATATTGATGTTGAACAAAAACAACTTAAAACGGAAATACTACTATTGGCAGAGGTTTTAAAACTGGCCATTTGTTGACAGACGGACAGACAGACGGGCAAGTGAGTGATTGCAATAGCTCACCATTTGAGCTAAAAACAGAACCAGTTTGTACGTTCTCAATTTTGGGTCAACGCATGCGCACACAACGGTGCATTCAATATTTACATGTCTAAATTAGTTTCATATCCATTAAATATTGTTTCAGTTGGGGAATAAATTAAGAAACGACTCCTATACGTATAAAGTGTTTTTGTTTTCTGAGTGGTTTGTATTGGGAAGTCAACATGACATTTACAAGAACGTGTACTTTATATGAGGTTAAGGAACATAATGTGTGAAATATAATATATATCGACATGTATTTAATGTTGAACGTCTCACCGATTCCCTATAGTTCTTATTCTGCTATCTGTGTCAGATTTAAACATGCACTCCCTCAATATGTTTGACAACCTTAGCTGCCCCATTGAACTACGTGTTAAAGCCTTTACATTTGAATTTTTAATTACTTAACCTGAGATGAAATAACTTATAATATTGATGGGAACGTAACTTAAATATATAACACATAGTCCAATAGGGGAGCTAAGTTTGATTGCCAAACTTATGAAGGGGAGTGTAACTCCATAGTCCATAGTTTCTCAATACGCGACCACACAGCAAAAATGCAAATAGAACTAGAATGGTTTCGAAAAATGTAAGAAGAGAGCACTCTCTTGCTTACTCTCTGGAGTTCAACCTCTTTATATTTTCCATATGTATTAAAATGCAAAATGATGTTTTATGGCAAGGATAGACTAAACACGCTTATACTTTATATGGTTAAAGTATTTTTACCAATAATCAAGCACACGCAGCGCATTACTTTATTTATAGATGCTTTCAAATTACAATTTCTAGATAAATCAGTGATTTCAGTAACTTTTTGTACAAGAGCCAGGTGAAACATACAAGAGGCGGCATTCAATACAACCAATTTTGAGTTCCCGGCAATACAAATTCTAGTTATTTTAGAGTCCATGGACAGAAAGTGGGCAAATGAAAAAGGGCATGGACAGACTTTGCCCAAATTAATATAAAATTCTGATGTGCATAATATTTTAAAGACAATGTAACTGAAATACAATATTATTGTACAGTCAATCAAAGTTTTGAACTTTGAATTCTATTAACAGGTGATTTAAAAGATTTCCAGGATTTTACTTTTTGCAGGTTTGTTTTGTTTCCCAGTGTGCTGTGATATTGTGAATTGGATTGACTACAAGACATGGACTACACAAAAGAACACCCTGAACCGTGGAATGACTATGGCAACTTTTATAGAATGCCATTTACCTTTTATAAGATAACTTACAGTTACACAGGTTGCAGTTTACAAATTTAAATGCACCTATACCTGCTGAAGTGAAAACTTTTGATATAAAATGCATACTGTGTGTATATATAATTTACATTGAAAACGTAAGGTATCTGCTGACTTTACAGTCCCCATGTAGAGTTTAAAAATATGTTTTTGCATATAATTACTATTTTTCATGACTTAAAAAAAGTTTGAAATAAAAGTTGTCAGCTTTTCATTTTTCAAACTCCAATTTCCCGCAATTTTCCAAATAAAGTTGGAATTTTTCAATCATCAAATATTTATTTATAAAGTGCAATAAAATATTATATATTATCCTTTTAACACCAATATAACGATATAAATGTATAATATAAACCAATAATAAAATGTTGCATCTGATGTGCCAATTCAATGTTTTAGCATATCGAAGTGACCTCACCGTGACATCACTTAGAAGGCAAAATTTGTCAATGTCCATCTTTATCTGTGCTGAACTTAAAACTAAACCAATGTTGACTGTCTAACTAGGTTAAAAGGATGAATTGTTATGTTTTAATATTATTGGAACATTGGTTTCTATGAGAACTAAAATTTCAAAATGCATTTGCCCTGAACCACTTTTATGCATGAATGAGTTTATTGCTCGCTTATTTATCAACCTATTTTCTTAATTTTGTCGGCAAAAACAAGTGAGGATGAATGCTATCCATTGTGTGAATTTTGTGTAAGTGTAACCTCTAAAAATTAGTTTAAATAAATTCACATTATTTTGAAAAAAATCCTTCAATTTTTTTTTAAATTAATAAAAAGTTTCACATTTCACA